GAAACGCCCATCTTCCCCTTCTTTCTCCAGATCAACTAGAATCGTTAAGCCGGTCAGACCAAAGCCGCAGATTCACTGTCGGCCATCAATTGAAGCGCCGGTACCGGCTCATACCTCGTAATCGCTTGACATGGAACATTCTGTCTTTGACTCCCTTTGACAAGACGTAGGGCGTAGCAGACAACATTACTAACCCGCCAATTGACATTGTGAGCAGCCAAAGGACAAGCCACAGCAGGCCTGCTGACCAAACGCACATTTTAGGCGAGGCGGGCTCCCGCCTCCGTCAGAGCTGGTACTACAACTCTGAGCTGGATCTATTGCATGCGTGGTGCTTAGTCGAAGCTGGGGTCCCCACTTTCATAGACCCAGTTGAGCAGTTACTTGAGTCATTGTGTAGTCTACAGTGAAAAGTTGGATACTAAAGTACTTCTAGGAGCAAAAAGCGATGGCTAGATACTTAGATTCATGTACAGAGTACCGATGACAACCAGCTCCAGCTCGTACACAGGCACGGCCTCGCGCCAGCGGACCCCTTTCTCGCGCCAGTCAGCAAGCAAAGGCGAGTGGTCGCCTGAAGAGGGCGTTGGAGGGCGCTAGAAGGCGCTGGCAACTCACAAACCCACGCCCTAAACGTCGTGTTGTCAGTGGATGCTTCAGTGGCGTGATGGCCTGTGACGTTGCCCGCAGGCGAGTTAAGCCCTCCAGTCAGCGCAAGTCACAGTTTTCTGCGCCCTACCAGGCAGTAATACTCCATAGGGCGAAGGAGGTGGAAGCCCGTCCCGTCACCGCATCACGATCTCTTCCACATGGGTGGTATATTCCACTTCAGGAGTTATACTCCGTATCTGCCAGGCACGGGGATCATTTATCCTAAAGCAGGCAGGTCGTCTGTATTAACAATTGGCTGCTTTTATTAGAAACCTGGACAAGGCGTGCTTATATCCAATAGACAGCCATCCGAGCGTGTAAGACGAAGTCGACATGCTGGCATTCCACGAGCTTTGCCTCAACGTCGAGTCGAATTACGCAGTATTTACACGTATATTTACACGTATATTGCGCCTTATACACCAATACACTCAGCTCGCAAGTGGCTCATGGACAACCAAAAGAACCAACTTCGGACTTCTCCGTCAACTCAATCAACACCAAGAAACCACACTCGACATAAAAGCACAGCTCCATCCCCACGCAAATACTTCTCGAAACTCAGTCGCGGCATATCGGCACTCATCTCACTCTCATTTCTCCAAGTCATCCACGCGAAATTGTTTACAGCAATACTACTCGATTCGTGAGACTCGCCGCCACCTCCTCCACAACGGGTAAAGTAGTTGCCTGGGTCCAATTTACCTGGTGACCATAAGTTTTTTCCTTCTCCTGGATCTAATCCGTATTTTCATTTTTTTTCTCACGATGGAAACAAAATTTTCAGTTCGATGCAAAGAATAACTTGGCCCCATTGCAAAGTACTACCTCGATCCAGCCTAGGTGCCGCTGCTAAGTCGATGTACGGCAGGGCTACCGAATTTTGTGTGCTCCATAGTGGAACCTCGTAGTGGACGGCATTCAAGTTTTTTTTCTGGGTCGTTGTACTGTGTTTGATTCATCTACTCGAGATTACTGCCACATACGGCTGAGTGTTTGACATTTGCTCGGTGTCATTACATAAAGGCGGATGCTTGTCTGCCCCTATGAGGAAGCAGTCTGGAGTAAATCTGGAGTTTTCACTCCATTTCAGCTGTTGCGTGTCGTGTTCAGGTCCCGTCGTCGTAGGTTACCGGATAGGGCCAACTGCCTAATAGTAGTACAGTAGCCGCTATTGAAAAAAAAAAAAAAAAAAATTTTATGCCCGTGCTCGATCGTGGCTTTGGCGATCGTAGCCTGCAAACACGTGTGCTGCTAAAAAGGTCTCGGGAGCCTCAGCCATGCCACTAACACGGCCTGCTCCCCTGGCAGCCAAGCAGCCTCAAGCGCCCATCAGGGTCCCTGCGAAGCTATTACGTACATGTATATGAGCGATGTTGTTACCTGCATGTAGAGCATGAGAATCAGCCTGTTGGATCATCAAACCGCAGTCCGTGGTGCTTGCATTGTGTGGAGCCTCCTCATTTTTCATGCTCCTGTGAATGAGTAGCAGGACATTGCGGCCCGGGGTCCCGCTCCCGCATGCTGCTTCTTAGAATCTCTTGTCAGTAGGCTACTAGAAGTCGGCTACCAGAAATCCTTGGCGCCGCAAATCCAGCATCTCGGCAGTCGTTCACGGGCTGAAGTCTTGCTTACTTACACACAAGCCGGCTTGCATTGATGGCACATGCAGCTCGAGTAACGTGGAAAGCACTTCATGTAATCTTGGGCCTCTCTGCATCCCCGTGTGAAATTTCCACAGCGTCCACTGGTCATTTCATCCCTCCGAGTCATTCCCACTTGCCAATATCATCAGGTCTCGCTTCAAGTAAGGGAATGGCCAGCCTCAGCTGCTCGCTTATCCCATTGGGCATCGCCCCTTTTCCCGCTGAGGGTCTGAGAAATTCAAAAGTACGAATGACACTGACTTAGCTCTTCCCGTGGCCCATTCAAAATTTCGTGCCTCGTCGTTGAAAGCACGCGCTTCACAGGGCCGGAGACGACCGGTAACTACCGGCTATGTAAGCCGGCGCCCTATGAGTGTAATACTGTAGGGCTCTCGTCTCAGTTCACTAATACATCGTATACAGGGTCACCAGAGCCGCTCACGGTACGTACCTCTTCCCAGTCTTAAGCCGAAGTGCGACTCCATTTTGAGCCGAAATATATCACCACGACACGGATAGGGGGATCGTGCCAGAGCTCGTCAATTGTGCCATTTTGACGATTCTGCTGCCTGCGCAGGAGACTCGGGGTGGAGCGCAGAGGTTCATTGCACCGCGGCTTAAGCATGAGTTTGTTTTGCCTTTGCCGGTGTGCATCCCGTCGTGCGATTCTGTGTCAACGTTTCCACATCTATCAGGCGACGTACTCTCGTCCTTTACGCGGAATCGGCCAATACCGATGCGCAGCTCCATCACGGTAGCCGACCGCTCCTTCAATCCGGAACCCTTTATGCTGCAACATCTGCAAAGTGCCGCGCCTGGAATAGATCGCCAGGGCCATGTTCCAGAAGCTCGGCATGTGTTTCATGACATCAGCTCTGCTACTTATTCATGCAAACTGTGAGCTGTTTCTGTGAAATTGCTTCGTATTAGGACTAGCATTATTTCGTACTACTTCTATAAATAACAAACAGCAAGCATAAGCTCTCCTTAATGAGACTCGCGGGACCCCCGCATCTCCGGAGCGGAAGGAGTGGATGCCAGGATCGGGAGCAGCGGGTTCAAAGGGGTTGTTCCGGCGCACCCGCTGCCGATTCTCCAAGAATACCGGATTGCCGAGTCTTCTCCAATTTCAAGACGTCTCTGTCGAACCCGTGAACATGATGATACGATAACATCTTTGCTGTTGTTCAATTCTAAATAAAATGCAGTATAACTATACCATAACCGTTATTCCACTCCAGGTTCTGAATGCTACGCTATTTATATACCCTGGAGGCGAGAGGTATGCGCCTGTTGTTCACAATGCGGTGTATATGAAACAAATAGCCTCAATTTCACATGTTTGTTAATTTTGCTCTTTACCCATAATGCTATTATAAGAATTGATGTATGAAAAAGGCATTTATAGCATCGTGCAAAAATTGGCTTGTGGTTCGATATGTTCAACGAAAGCCACTAGCGCACAAACAAATGGTGTATGCGCCTCACCTAATTTGCTGCCAATTATAGCGATCAGTCACAGCCAGTTAGTACTGACTTTTGATACTATATCGTACGATCGCAATGTACAGAGCAACTCAGGTTGCGCTCCACTTGGATTTTGCCTTAGAACTGTTCGGATCCTCGCGAAGCTTATTAAAAAAAGAGTTCTCATAATGTGCATCAGCATAGGGAGGAATATACAGAAGAATATGCAACAAAGTAACGTGAAGCCGCACAAAAAGACCATTCTCTCTTTCGTTCAAATTAGAACGAAACTAAAATAACACAGTAATTATATGGTTGCCAGCGAGAGAATTTGGACTCAAAGCCTTACTTATAGTTGTAACTCAGTCTGAGCAGAGAGAGCCACCATCCCTACTTTAATTCCCCCCTTTTTATCCGTAACTGTTCATGTGGAACTTCTTGCTGATGGGATTTTTACACACAATGAGCTGTCATGCCCCAATGTATACGATTCAACTTGGCCACAAAGCGTCACGATAGAACTGGCCTGTGGCAGTTGACCGCTGACGGCGCTGCTGCTTTTGATCTCTTCACGTCAGCTCTTTCAATTATACCAAGGTAGAGGTCATTAAGTACTAAAGTAGTCAATGAACAAGAGAGTTTAAGCTATTTCGTGGCAGAAAACGCTTTGACCGGTTAGTGTTGTCAGAGTGGTCAGAATATGGTCAGAAACATTACAAATGCCTGAACAGCAAAAACCGCACAAAACCAAACAGTAGGTGAGTATGAACATCAATCATTATTACTATTCTTGTGGTAGTAAGGTCGATGAATAGAGTGCTCGTGCGATGAACACTGTGTGTATTTGAAGCCGGTACAGAGGATAGTGGTTGCCCGCAACGCCAAGTCCACAAGTCACCCGCGGTAAAGTACATATGAATAATCAGATTTATAAGATATGGTTCGCAAATAGTCAACTCATCAAGTTTGACATTGTAGTTACTAGCTGTGGAGAGTTGAGAGACTCGATACGACGCCGTCGACCTGCTAGTGCCGTGTATTTCTTCATTGCAAATTCAAGAGCAAGCCAAACTTATGGAGTGTTTTGTCATGATTAGTTACGTATACTAGCTACAATTCATGATAAGGCACACGTATAGGTATATATATGAGAGCCTGCACCATGAAGCCCAGGTCCCCAATACCATCAACACTTCTGCCCGCTCTCTTATTCAGTAACTCGATACACGACTCAAAATGGCTACCGAATCTTGGCCCTTTCCAACAAAGACATGGCACGACGACACATATCCGGCCATCGATCCGACTCGCCCTGAGCTCAGCTTGGCTGGCAAGACGGCAGTAATCACTGGCGGCGGTATTGGCATCGGCGGAGCTATTGCCCAGTCATTCGCCAAAGCAGGCGTCTCTCACCTTGCCTTACTCGGGCGACGACTTCAAGTTTTGGAAGAGAAGAAAGCCCAGATTGCCATCATCAATCCTCAAACAGAGGTTTTGGTGATCCAAGCGGACATTGTCAACGAAGGACAGATCCAAAAGGCTTTTGAAACCGTGAAATCCACGTTTGGAGAGCCACAAATTCTCGTTAACAATGCTGCGTATTTTGATGGAGCAATCTCGGTGCTGAAGGATAGTGTCGATGACTGGTATCAGGCCTTCGACGTCAACGTCAAAGGCAGCCTTCACGTCGCTAGATCCTTCTTATCTGTCGCGGCACCGTCGCCTAGGATTCTAAATATTTCTACCGCAACGGCTCATTTAGATGCCAAGCTATTCCACGGAATGTCAGCATATCTATCATCCAAGATGGCCCAGCTCCGTATGTTTGAGGCCATACAGGCCGAGCGGCCCGACGTGGTGATTGTGAGCTGCCACCCAGGGCGCGTGATGAGCGAAATGTCAGCAAAGGTCGGTAGGACGAAGGGCATTGATACATGTAAGTGAAATCGCTTTTTATATCCCTATACCCTGGACTCAGCTGAAAATGTATAATCTCGATGGGTTATTAATTGCGCGTTAGTGGACCTTTCGGGCGATTTTGGTGTTTGGGCAGTCAGTGACGAGGCAACATTTCTAAAGGGTAGAATGGCGTGGGTCAATTGGGATGTAACTGAGCTCAAGGAGAAGAAGGACAAGATTATCAATGATAACTTACTCATCGTCTCTCTTAGTGGCTGGCCATTTAAGGAGTAAGTCATTATGATTAGATAGCTGGAGAAAGCAGGATTGTAGATAGAGAATGAGGGTTATGTACGAGAAACCATGCAATCATCGAACAAATCAAGAGTCTGTGACAAAAGAATTCGCTCAGTAACGTCAATGACAGGATACAAGGAGAAAAAAATGTGAGACTTTTTCCCGCTGTAGATTCGCAGTTTTCGTCTACTACATGGCGGAGGCTCACCGGGGGCTTATACGGAGACGCTCACTATAACGCCCATACAGCTTATTGATGCTCTATACTAGATACCGGCTGAAGCTCCATATTCACAGGCCTCTCTCACAAAAAAAAAAAAAAAGAAAGAAAACTGATATGAAACAAATGATAAAGCAAAAAATTGTCTTGTACATAATTCCACAATCCAAACATTTTCTCTTCCCAGCCATAAATGTTTTTCATCTCTTTATGCTGAATGCATCCAGTGCGAAAAGTGGGCCCCGCTCGCCATGGCAGATTATATTTCCGCTCCGCCCAGATTTCAGACATCGCTCTCAACGCCAACCTAGCTAAGCTCTTCTGCAGCAACGCGACAGAATTGCACGACGAGCCTGTCGCTGTTTCTCCCGCCAATTACGACCAGCAATTTACGTTTCAAACTTCAACCGAAATCATGACTGGTCGAGGTGGAGGCGGTGGTCGCCGCGTTTTGCTTCCCCCCATGTGAGCTTCTCCCGGATAACTGCCTGCCCCACGGCGGCGGACAACGAAAGCTGACTCTTTGTAGTAACATGATCTTCAAGCTGCTTCAGAGCGTGAGTTTATGAATGCCCATACCTTTTGTCTGATTCGAACACGACAACATCTCGATGCGTTGAATGTCGACCGGGGCCGGGCGCATTGGAAGGGATGCGATGCGATGGGCGATTAAGTCGATGCTCAGAAGATGGACGAGATACTTCTTTGCTCGATCTCAGTGGTTTCAGAATGCAAATTGGGAGTCGTTCACGTTCAATGGACGAGACAATGTGGATTGACAATCGCTTCCGCCTGCCAACTGAAGTGCTGAGCAAAAACAGGGATATCTGGAGGATTATAGTTGCGTTACACGTTGGCTGGTTCAAATGCTAACTTGGAATCCTTATAGAATGCTACCGTCAGCGTCTGGTTATACGAGCAGCTTTCAATCCGCATTGAGGGCAAGATCCGGGTTAGTCAAATCAAGTTGGAATATTACTTGGGGTCCATCAACGCTAACACCGCAGTAGGGATTCGACGAGTTTATGAACCTGGTTATCGACGACGCCGTGGAGGTCAAGCAAATCACAAAAACCAATGACAAGGAGTCAAGGAAACCGCTGGGTAAGCCAAGTGGAATGGTGGACCTGCGATCTGATTGATCAAGCTGACACGACGATAGGCCAAATCTTGCTCAAGGGCGACAACGTCTCTCTAATCCAGAATCTGTCGAGCTAGACTGGTTTTTCTAAATAATACACACTGACATGTGACGATGGGAGTTATATTTTGACAAGATACCATATTCAAATGGCACGCACGGGATATTCTTATTATTTACCATGTATCACACCTGGGTAGCAAACAAACAACGGGATCGGGACAATAGAAATTGATTCATTCAGCAAATACCAGATGACGTGATATCCTGCTGCATACGTGCTTGTCTTTGCTTTACTCTTGACTGCAGACTCTTGACTGCAGAATTGCACATGTAGATCGCTGCCGAGGTTGTGCCGATCGCAGTAGTGGCCGCAGCTAAATCTCCAAACCTCCGAGGTGACGATTCTTGAGCTCACCTCTTCGTAGCAACCAATTCAGCCAGGCATGAGCAACGGGCGCTGAGATGCGCTCGTTCATGGACTATGTCCACAGTGCTTTCTACGAGGCGACCGGGTGGAGGCGCGACAACTCGTATGCTGCGCTGAATTCGACAACCGATGGTGATTCTGCCCCTTCGCATTCTTTTTGTCTCTGCTGACTCCATGCGTAGCTCTCTTGAACTTCAGCACTCCTCGAGGTCTACGCCTCTCCCTCTCAGCTCTCGCCAGCTCGAATTTCGCCACGTCCTACCAATTGGGCTCAGTCGGCGTGGTTGATGGCTCCATCAGCTATTTGTTCTCCTCTGTTCCTCTCCGAGTCCTCTTGACGCCTCAGTCCGAAAACGTCCCGCTCCCAGATCTCCTTCGATCCTACCGCCATCTAACGCCCGTCGCCCGACGAGATAACCCTTCACTGAGACCCCCAGACGACACTGACAAGGTCAACGAATCACTTCTCTACGGCCGGCTCTATCTCCCGCAGTCGCAGCTAGAGGCCCTGCTGGTACGGCGCTTATCACCTGCTTTCCAGGCACAATTCAGCGCTGTGTCGGGCCAACACCTCAGAAATGGGGGCACGGCTCTGGGATTAATCCAGTACGATGTCGGAAGATACGCACTTGAAGGATTGGCTTCTACGGACGGCGGATTGCTTGGCTTTAGAGGAGTTTATAACTTTGGAGGAGACTTGAGCAGCAAGAGACATACTTCGTCCACTGCGGAGAATGGCAATGGCCAGGGGAGTAGCAATGGAGACAAGGAGAGGATATACGGGCGCTTCAGCACCGGAGGGGAAATTTACTACGGCACGCTCAACAAGTCTGGAGGCATCAGCATAGGGGCGAGATTCGCGACGTTACCGGACCACAAGGGAACGCCATTGTCCGCCACGCTCACGATGAACCCTCTCATGGGCAACATTGCAGCTAGCTATGCGGTCATGGCTGGAAGAGACTGCAGTCTTGCAACGCGAATGGAATTTAACATCTTCAGCTATGAGAGCTCATGGGCTGTAGGCATGGAGCTGTGGAGGAAACCATTTGCACGAACCGCTGCAGAAGCAGACAATACTCTTGCAGATACTGCCGCTGCGAAGAAAACAGCTCAAAAGCTACACTTTGCTGCCAAAACAGCCACCATTCAACCTGATGGAAAGGTAATCGATTTGAAAGATTCGACGGAAGCTGCGCCAACGCCAAGTCCTATACCATTACCAGCCGAACGCAGTTTCAACGCAAAACTAGAGTGGAGGCTGGATGAGCCAGAAAAGCCAGCAGAAAAATTGGCGGAAAAGAAGGCAGCACCGAAAGCAAATGGAGGCAGCGCTAGCGTCAAGTTCAAAACGAGGAAGACGACACTCCCGAAAGCAGTGCAACCTGTTAAGAAGGTAGAAACAGAAGTTGTGGAGGAAACTGAGGAGAAAGAGGAGTATGCCGGCGTGGTGAAAGCGAGGCTGGACCAGAACCTCCGACTTGGAGTGCTGTGGGAAGGACGGGTGAAATCGCTGCTGTTTAGCCTCGGCAGTGGCATTGACCTGAGGATGATGAACAAGCCGTTTCGAACTCTGGGTTTGGAGATTCAATTTTCTTCGTGAAGGATTGGTGTGCTGAATTAGACAGCTTTTGTACAAACCCCGGAGACCCAACTCCGCTTGGAAGAAATCCATCTCGAGAAAAATAAATAAATACTTCGTAGATACTTGTCTACCATCTTATTTGGCTTAATAACTATTGCTTCAGTATATTGGCGATTATCTGGGCTGAGCTTCACATATTAATAATCGCGACTCCCGTTCTTAACTCCGCTGTCTCCGTAGCTTGACAAACCAACATTTTCACTGCTTTTCGAATAAATACTCTCCTGTCAAGTAGTTTAACCGCTAATAGTTGCACAGAGAGAAAGAGAGAAGAGAGAGACAACTGAAACTCAACTCCACAGAATCCCTCAACTCGCTAGACTGCATGGGTCACCAGCCCCGGAGGCGGCCACCCGCATGCTCGCTTTGCCGGATCCGAAAGCTGCGCTGCAACCGCCAATCGCCATGTTCCAACTGCTCGATCCGCGGGATTCCTTGTCACCGCGATAGTCCTCGTGGTGGGCCAAGACTGCTCCCCGGCAATGGATCGCAAGAAGCGCTCGATCGGAACCACTTGGCGCCGTCCTCACTGGCCTCGACTCAGCTGCAGCTCATCTCGGCGGATGTACTTGATATCCAGAATAACTGCGCTAACCAGAAATTACTAGTAAGCTCTTCTGACCTTTGGATGCTTTACAGGGATTCGTGAAAGTTGAAGATAGACTTGGGGTTCTGTAGGATTCGTTGGCGCCGAGCCCATTCACTCTCCGCACTCGTTCTATTCGCACCATCACCAAGCCGTCTTATTTTATCCAGCATCCCGATACATCGCCGGAATCTTTGCCTGAAGAAGTGAGAGTCATTAAATGCATATGTCTCCCTTTACGAGAGGATGCTCACGTCCTGTTGGAGAAATTCATCGACGACGTGCTTCACTTTCACCACATCTTTCATACGCCTTCTCTACCATCAACAATTGATCAATTCTATGATGCCGTGGAACAGGATGAGGATGTTGACTTGGGCCAGTTGATGCTTATTCTGGCAATATGCTGCAGCACTACCCACACATGGACTCGTTATGACGACGCCAAAGGCCTATTTGACTGCGCAGAAGACGCAAACTCACAGACTTCGGGGTGGCTCAAGACAGCCTTGGACATTATTCACCATGCTCATGTAGCTGCACATGCATCGTTGACTTGCATACAAGGCATCATGGTGGTATTTTTCATGATATGCAGCTTAGAAGGCATCTCGCCGCGGGCTCGAGTGCTTCACACCCAAGCAGTTGCAATGGCCCAAACGATTGGGCTGCATGTCATTGACTCTCCAAACGCCGCTATTCATATAGATTGGCTCAATGATTCTCATGTCTTAGCGGAAGTTGGACGCAGGACATGGTGGAACCTCACAGACACAGACTGGTAAGCCCACTATGTACATACTATTGAGCTGTGGCTCTTTCTGATGACGTGACTCGGTAACAGGATGATTTCAAGATTGTCAGTCCCTCAGGGGGGTTCATATATAATTCAAGCGAGCCAGATGGCGGTACGACGGCCTTGTAATGCAAACGACGAGGATATTGTCGACGGACAAGAAATTGTTGATCGCCCACTCGAGGAAGCAACATCCGTCTCCTATCTTCTCGAACGCCAACGTCTTGCAGTGCTGTTCTATAATCTCGGAGACTTTGACAAGCCCATCAATTCTACGTCGGAAGAAGCAGAGTACCTAAAAGTCATGGAAGTAGACATGAAGTTGCGGCAGTTTATGAGGGAACTGCCCTCCTTTTTCCGCCTTGAAAACAGCGACTACGTTTCCAAAAAGCCCAACCGGGATACTCGGCAGTCATCTAACATCACTACTCAAAGATATTTACTCAATATGATATTCTACGGCCAAATCTGCAAGCTTCACTTACCGTACATGGCGCGAGGCACAGTTAACCCCGGATTTGCATATTCCCACGACTCGTGCTTAAAAGCAGCCCAGCAAATCATCTACATAGAACACCAGATGAGGGCCGAGCCTTCAACATTCATCTTATTCCGCCAGCGCATGAACATCAAGTTTCGCAGCATCTTCATTGCATGCGTAGTCTTTGTTCTAGATGAATGCCTAGCCAATAGCGCCGAGGGCAGGACAATGGAAGCCGATGCAACAATGGCTGACGCATGGAAGATTCTGCACGAAGCGGAGGGGCAATCGCCGATGGCATCCGAGCTGCTGCAGCTCTCGGTGGAAATTCTGAAAAAGTATAAAGCGACGCATCCTGCTTTGGAGATGATGACGGAGCATCTTAGCGAGAAAACTTCATCGTTGATAGAAGAGAGTTTAATTGATGTGGAAGATGCCGAGAGCAGCAACACACGGGATGAGACGGAGCTCATGGGAGGAATAGAAATGGACGATGCTGGCTTAGAGAAGCTTTGGCTGGCGCTGCAAGGGCGTGGCAGAGAATGGAGCGATCTGTTTTATGGATTCGGTCCTTTCCATGTATAAAAGCAGGCGAAACAACAAGTAGAGCCACGCCGTATATCCCAGGTGTAAACGAGAATGTATATACGAGTACACCTTAATAAATGCATTCTAATAAGTAAACACATGCTAATTCATTACTTCTTACAACTCAGACAACAAAGATGCAACAAAGCATAACCAGGCTGGCACATCAGTTGTCAGCGTCCTCACGGTGTGTAGCTTGATCCAACCAGCCATTTCTCCCTGAGCCAACTCCGGATTGGCAAGGATCCGATCCATGAACCCGAGCACCTACAGAAAATATGAGATATTCAATTTTTTCAAGACAAGGGTTTCAGAACAACTTCACATACCGAATTCCCAAACCCAAAATGAATAAGAGTAAACACCAATCCCGCAATCGCCCAACGCGAGGCTGTCTTGGCCCTGGCCTGACCCTCCGCTGTCCCCGAAACATCTCGAGTGCGAGCTGCTCGGATCCCTGAAGCAATAGTAACTGCGCTGAGCGACGTGATCCCAATAAAACCCGGCTTGAAAAAGTCCTGGAACCATACGGCAATCGCAGGGCCGGGATACGTGACGTTTGTGAATGGGATCACTGTGATCCAGGCACCAAGAGCCATGCCGACATTGAGAGACGTCGATACCACTGGAACCAGGGCTGAGGGGATTCTACGACCCGTGGATGAGGATTTCGCCGTGCTAGATGCCATTTTGACGTGAATGAACAGAGAGAAGCTGCGTATTTCTTGTTAGTGCTGATTATACAGCGAAGAGCGAGCTCATTTATAGTCGTGCTGGACCCAACGTGAAGTGGGACGGCGTATTAGTTTAGCGGCCAACGGCGGATCCCACTCAACGTTAAACCTATCACTGATGCTGCGCATGTTTATTATAGGCCGGAACTATTGACCTGTTCGGATCGTCCCAATATAGGTGCAGCTTGCGATGAAGATGGGAGCGGTTCTCGCACAGTCTACTGTGTGTAAACGAATGACCACAATTGATCGATGGACCCGCATAAGACTATTTTCCAGTCAATCTGCCAGAGATGTGCCTAGAAATAGACGCTGGTGTTTTAGAGTGATAGGCACTAGACCCTTACTTTCTCGTTTAGGCTCTCCATACTAGGCATGTTGAGCATCCAGCTTACAATGCGACCATTCTTATACCATAAGTGCGATTTTAATTAACCAGTTGCATCTAGCTGTGATCTTTTGCCGAGTGAAATGCCAGTTGCTGATATTCTGTCGAACAGTGAGCCTGCATATATTACACAACTTTGCACGTCAATGTCCATGAAGAGGGCCATTCTATAACCAAACACCAAAAGCGACTTATTAGATTTCTCTATATCCTCATTTACGTTCATGCATCTCATTTTACTTCCATCTCCCTACCTTATTCCTGCATTTAGCACACGTGATGTCTTACATGCATGCACTTCATCATGTCACATATGGTGCCCAATCCCTTCACTGAGTTTCTATTGGTGAGCGCAATGCTTTTCAGGCCGCCAGACGTATAGTGAAATAAACCCAACCTTTTTCCTGATCAAGGTCCTTACTCTCAAAAACTATCATCATCAGTGATCATTAGCCATGGAGCAGCTAAGATGGCTCACCGGCATGAGCAGAAACGAGGATTTGCCAGAATGGGACAGCCCATCACCTACAACTCCAACAGCGGGCTCCTCTGAGCACACCAGTTTGACAGCGTATTCCGAAGAAACAGACGTGGCCCTCAATCATAATGCTGGCGCCAATAGACGTACTATCTACGACCCAGTGGCAGACCCTAGCAATCGAAGCTGTCTGAAAGCTCTCCAGACGACAGATCCCCGCGAACACAAGGAGCGCATTGAGAAATCCAGCGGTGGCTTGTTTCGTGACTCTTGCTCATGGATTCTGGATAACGCCGACTTTAAGCAGTGGTACTGTCATCCAAGGAGCAACCTGCTCTGGATAAAAGGCAATCCTGGCAAAGGAAAGACCATGTTGCTATGCAGCATCATTGACGGACTGAACTCCACGGCAGAGTCAGAGAACCAACAGGCTTGCACGCTATCCTACTTTTACTGCCAGGCTTCAGATTTTCGCACCAATAATGCTGCAGCCGTGCTTCGCGGCCTAATGTACATGCTAATTGACCGTCAGCCTATGCTTCTGTCACATGCGCGAAGGACTTACGACCGCGTTGGGGACCAACTCTTCAAGAACTCGAATTGGGGGGCTTTGTCCAAGATATTTTCGGCTATTGTACAAGACAGGCGCCTAATCAATACGTTTATCATCATTGACGCTTTGGATGAATGTACTGCAGACAGAGATTTGCTTATTGACCTGATTGCTCGGGTATCAGCAGCGACTCCAGAGGTCAAATGGCTCGTGTCCAGCCGCAACATGTCGGATATTGAGGAGGGCTTCACCATGGCCCACAAACTAGAAATCTCTCTCGAATTGAACGACAGGTCCATTTTTGCAGCTCTTGGCCTATACGTCCAGCATAAAGTTGTCGAATTAGCAAAAGGGAAAGGGTATAGCAACGAGTTACAGAATTCGATTTACGGGTACATATGTCGGGGCGCAAAGAGTTCATTCCTCTGGGTGGCCTTGGTTTGCCAGGATATTGCCACAATCCCAAAGCATTCATATATTCTCCCAAGGCTCGCTGAGTTTCCGACTGGGACCGACGCTTTGTACACCTACATGCTGGACCAAATCTGCATTTCAAAGAAATCTAAGCTCTGTTTACACATATTGGCTGTCACATCAGCTGTATACCGACCAATCACAATAGACGAGCTGTCGTCTTTGGTCAGTACGCCTGGTGGTTCGTTGGAAGAAGAGACTCTAGTACAGGCTATAGAGATCTGCAGCTCATTTCTAACCATTCATCAACGAACCATCCTTTTCATCCACCCGTCTGCGAAAGACTTCTTGCTTGAGAGAGCGGCCAATACAGTGTTTGCATCCGGGATGGAGCACATACACTATATCGTCTTCTCGCAATCCCTTCAAGTTTTGCAGAAAACACTGCGACGGGACATCTACGGCCTCAATGTCCCTGGATTCCCAATCGATCAGGTAAAACGGCCTGACCCAGACCCACTAGCAGCAGCGAGGTACCCATGCGTATTTTGGGCCAGGCATCTTTTGGACTCTATAAAGTTTGTTAGACAGCATGGCGATCTCAGTGACGGCGGCAAAGTGGACACATTCCTGAGAACCAAGTTTCTATACTGGCTCGAGTCTCTGAGTCTTCTTGGTAGCTTGCCCGAGGGAGCCTTCTCAATATCTCGGCTACACCATGTACTCCGAAAGAAGGCTAAATCGTCCTATTTTTCCGAGGCTTGCTCTGACAATACCTATACAGAGCCAGGTAACAGTCAGCTTGCAGACCTAGTACGACATGCGCACATATTTATTACACATCATATGGTACCGATCCAAAGCAGTCCACTCCAAGTATATGCTTCAGCGCTCGTCTTCACACCGGCTAACACTCCTATTAAGAACCTTTTTAGGTATGAGGAGCCGGGATGGATTGTCCCGAAACCGAATACCGATGATAAAGAACGCATCCCAGGTGGCGTACAAGCGTTGAAAGGGATCAGCGAACAAATTGACAGCATGGTCTTCTCACCAGATGGCGCTTTACTCGCGTCAGTGTCCATTGACGGCGCTGTCCAGATTTGGAATCTTGAAACCGGCCGTTGCTTGCAAACGCTCCACGTTCACTTAGATTCTGTTTATTCCGTTACTTTTTGTCCAACTAGCAGCACTTTGATCATCTCTGGGAGAGAAGATAACTCCATCCAAGTCTGGGATACACTTACAAACCAGATGCTGCAAACTCTCAAGGGCCATAACGATGCCATTTGCGCCATTAGCTTCTCACCAAATAACAACGACTTACTTGCGTCCGGATCGTGGGATCATACCGTCAGAATCTGGGACCTCGCAGCAAGCAGCTGCCTGCAAACCCTCAAGGGTCACGATGGCGATGTCTGCGCCATTGCCTTCTCGCCAGATGGCGTCCGGCTTGCGTCGGGGTCGTCTGACTGCACTATCAAGATCTGGGACCCAGTCAATAACCTGTGCCTTCAAACGCTCCGTCGATATAATGTAGTCTCTACCGCCATCACCTTTACAGCCGATGGAACCAAGCTCGTATCAGCACTGGACGGTGATGATGTTGCAATCTGGGATGTGGCAACAGGTCAATGCCTACACAAAGCATTCGTTGGCGCTCCACTTCGAAAACTAAATTTCGACGTGACAGGCTCTCTGCTTCATACGGATAGGGGGACGATTAGTGTCGACTTTGTCTCAAGCCTAGCAGCCAGTTCGAAGCCGTATATGAGAGAATACGGGATAAGTGCAGATAATCAGTGGATCAAAAAGAACTCGGAGAACTTGCTGCGGCTATCATCTGATTATCGGACTTGTAGTTCTGCGTTGATACGGGTACCATCGATGTCACTTGTTGCTCTCGGCTCATCGTCAGGACGTATAACGATACTACGACTCCTAGACTTAAATGACACCATATCCTAGTCTAATAATGCCAAGGTATGGAAAGATTATGGTCATTTCTGGAATACTGTTCTCGTAGGTAAGACGAAGCATAGAATTATGTATGCCAATGAACCGCAATATTGCGTCGTCATGTTTTAAAGGAATGAGACAATTGCCATCTAATCGTTGCTTTATTGTGATATCATAACGCCATTCTTTTTCATGCTGATTGGTCGTGTTGCTCAATTGTATCACTTTTGGGAGAGGGAAAGCATGTACAGCGATAGCGGCAATGTATATATATATGTATTACGCACTGTGTTTGAGCCAAGGCGGATGTTCTCTGCGCAGAACAACTGCCCCACCGGTACATGCATCTGCCCGAACCACAGTGCTAGAAGTGCACGGAATCTTCTAGTACTCGCTGGCATCTGGTGCCTCCAGTAGCTTCGCGATGATGCGCGATGATGCACGATTCATCGTGTAGTGTCTCAACCACCTCACACTGACTTCAATCTCACATTTTCCACAATCAAGCGATGGTGGGAACGTCACAATCGGGTGACTTTAACTCAGTGCTATTCTAGAAATGTCCATGCCACGCAAGCTAGCGATGTTTCGCGAACCTTGGAGAGACGTCTCCAGACGCATCTCTCCATGTATAAAGAAGTCCTTCGCCAACCCCTGAGGCTCGACTCTTCTCTCATCATCAATCATAACAATCAGAACAAAAGCATCAGCTACTATATGCAAAACTGCAAAGCACCTCTTCGCAACATACTATCTCGCAACAGCCGCACTCTGAAGCCCTCTTCTCTAAGACCACTCACAACCACACCTCGCAAAATGTCTCTCTTCCAGCGCAACTTTTACCCTCCCGAGGCTTCCTTCACGCCTCTCTTCCGCCTCCTCGAGGACTTTGACAACTACTCCCGACAAGACAATGGCACCACCCCAGGTCGCCCCACTGGCCTCGCTCACTGGCAGCCCAAGTTTGACGTGCGCGAGACCGACTCTGCCTATGAGCTCCACGGCGAACTGCCCGGCATGAGCAAGGAAAACGTCAGCATTGAGTTTACAGACTCCCAGACCCTGCATATCAAGGGCAAAGTCGAGAGGACCTACAGCTCCGGCACTTCTCCCGCTGGTGCTCTAGAAGGCAAATCTAACGCCGGCGCCATCACTGAGGGCAAGGAAGGCCAGTCAAAGTCGACTTCTCACAAGCCCACCGTTGAAGACGCAACCGAAGAGGGCACCCCCAAAGAAGGCGAGGGCCAAGTCGCAACGACCTCTGAGGAAAAGAAGCCCGCCGACTCTGCCAAGTACTGGCTCACCGAGCGCAGCGTTGGCCAGTTTTCGCGCACCTTCAACTTCCCTGCTCGTGTTGATCAGGATAACGTCTCGGCCAATTTCAAGGACGGCATCCTGAGCATCACTGTTCCCAAGGCTGCTAAGCACGAACCACGACGCATTGCTGTCAACTAGATTCATTCATTAAAAAGCAAAGGATTCTATTCAACGACAAAAATTGATGTTACGATGCATGACTGGGAGTTTTGGAGTCGAATTGAAAAGCGACGGAGGTGGTGGAAGATGATGGCCACTCATTTCTGTGATTACATATAGTTTTTTAATCAATAAAAACACATTCATTAAACCATGTTCCTTTCATATTCATGTGACACAAAAGGCGTAGATTCCAGGCAGTTGATCGTGTTGCTCACTTATCGGCAATGTATTGACTAACTGCCCATTTTCTTATAGATCTAGGAGACGGTGAGAGTTATAGCTGCATTACGAACTAGACGGGAAGTTTTCAGTTACTTTTAGATGTCACTTGCCAATTCTGTTGTATCTATTCTGATCTGCATCAAGTTGTCCTTAGACTCTTGGATCAAGAATGCATATTTTCTACGATAAGATATAGTCAGTCTCTCAAAACCAAAGTTTTTTAAAGCTTTAATTACATCAGGCATCCAGGGACAACAGTCACCGATGATAGTGACACGCAAGCTGGATTGTGGATTACCCCTGTATGCTGCTAGCAGTAGCACAGATAACCCTGCATCAATATTCCAAGCCCTAGAGATAAGTCGTGGCTGAGCAGCAAACACCAAGTGCAGGGGAGCAGCGCCAAGCTGAAGGTGGCTGCACAGGCACATGCATATTGACATATTATTTACTCTGCACTACTTTGCTTCATTGCCTTGCAAATGGATATATCACTTCCATAGAGCATCGCAGCAGAGCATCAAGACGAAAGCAGCTGAACCCCCCATGGAGCGTACATCATCGTGAGAACCTTGATGTCCCAGCCAAGCTTGATTTTTCAGCAACGGTCCCTCGGGTCGCATGTGGAGTCGCGCCAGCTCAGCTACAGCGAATCAGCGCGCAGGTAATTTGAGAGCGCCCGTCATCGCTAGCCTCATGGCTCGCCTGAAGCGCCCAAAAAGGACATTCACCCGCCTCTGCGCTCATTGCGCTGCGGCAGCTGGACCGCATGACTCGGATCACGATGCCACGCTCTGCGGCTATTTGGCGCAGACGTGCCATTTGTCTACTGTAGAAGTTGCTGCGCACTGCACTCTACCTCATATTGCGAGATAGTTGGTGAAGAGAAGAGTGTTGATTTCATGACTTGATGCTGCCCCTTTCCTGCCATCTCCCACAGCATCGGGCCAAATGCGTTGAGTCGGCCTCACCATGCGCAATACCATAGTTCCAATGACAGTAGTAGTGAGCGTATCAGTCGTATAAACACCGCTATGGAAACAATCGCATAATCATCGTGGCCCCGGAAGAAGCCGCAGTGCTAGACGAGCAAGAGATTTGGTGGAGTTCGCCGGGCGTAGAGCCCAGGACGGCGGCCATCAAGGTTCTCATCACGTCTTGACGTATGCGGGGCCGAAAATTGAGCAGCCTTTTCTGCCTCCCACAGCCCCCAGAGCCGAATCACTCCTCATTTTTGCACCAAATCCACGTAACAAAGCTCAAAACCCATTCTTTTACACGCCGTTTACATAGCCTGCATTGCATTTTGTACGACACTGTCTTGAGGCTCAGATTACGCTTGTTTGATCCACACAACACCGGTTTTCCCCTGATTGCGACTCCTCCGGCAACTGGTCAACTGTTTTCTCCGACTTGGTGTGACTCGAACTCGGCCTCCAATTATTGAAAAGAGAAAAGAACAAACACAGAATCTTGTGACAGCTAGAACAGGATTTAGCAGAAGCTTCACCGCAAGAATCAGCCAGTGTTGTCCGGTTACCGAGGCCTGTTTGTCTCCTGAGAGCTGCGGCATCGTCGTTCTTGCCTCCTCTGTTAAGCCAAGACTGTCGTAACTCTGCTATATTTGCGCAGCTTTGAAGCATAACTGAACAACTCATTCGTTTCTCAAGCTACTTGTTATTCTACCTCCAAGCCACAAAGAAAAATATCGCCTATACCGCCCTCAACGCCCGACATCCGCTGGCGAACTGACGTTGAAGCACGTGTCTTCTTGAGAGAGGCCTTCATTGTCTCTTCTCTCCCACATCTGGCATATTTTTGACACAGCCCTGTCTTAATAATTTATGCTGTGAGAGAGTGCAGTCATCAGGGGGGCATTTTTGGCTCACTCGGCGTCTCCGGCCTACCTAGTAGCACATCGAGGAAGGCTACACCTTCAATATTGCGGCAGCCGTGCCAACACATACTCACATCATGGCAGACACATTGGATAGCTGCAATGGAGACGTTGTCGATCTCAAAAACCGTGGGCTGCGCATCGGCGCCATCTTCATCGTCATGGCAGCCGCAACGTTTGGCGCATTCGCACCAATCCTCCTTGCGCGGCAGACAAAAATGCACGTCCCCAAATTCACATTCTTCATCTGCAAATACGTCGGTACCGGCGTGATTATCGCAACCGCATGGATGCACCTGTTGGATCCGGCAATAGACAATCTGTCAGATCCCTGCCTTGCTCCTCGGTTAGGAGATTACCCTTGGGCTCTGTGCATCAGTTTGATGACGGTCATGGTGATGTTCTTCGTTGAGCTCATGGCTGCAAGAATTGGAGGAGACGAAGATGAACACAGCCACTCGATTGGCTCCGACAGCGACTCCGGGCCGACTATCAAAGCACTGGCTCACAAGAAATCAACCGAAAAGGAAGCCATCGCTGAAGCCTGCCCGCACGATCTTGAGAGGGGTGTCCTGCGTGGACCGGATTCAACGACGATTCCCGGCCTTCCCGACGACGTGAGCTATCCTCCTGGAGGAGAGGATCATCTCGCCCATGGTCATGAGCATGAAGACGGCGACTCACATGGCGGCCTGGCGGGTCAGCTCACAGCCATCTTCATTCTTGAATTTGGTGTCGTTTTCCACAGCGTATTCATCGGACTCACGCTCGGTACTACAAACGATCTCGTCGTTCTTCTTGTCGTACTAGTGTTCCATCAGATGTTCGAGGGCCTCGGTCTGGGATCTCGACTGGCAACAGCTCCCTGGCCTAAAGACAAATGGTGGCTGCCATACGTGCTGGGCTTCGCATTTGCCATTGCAACCCCAATTGGAACGGCGGCCGGAATAGGCGCGAGACCCAACAACGCCAACACTCAGAAGCTTGTTAATGGCATCTTCGACTCCATCAGCGCTGGCATCCTCATGTACACGGGCCTGGTTGAGCTCTTGGCGCACGAATTCATGTTCAACCCTCACATGCGAAAGGCGCCCTTGAAGATTCAGTTGTTTGCATTTGGCTGCGTAGCATTTGGAGTGGCCATCATGTCTCTATTAGCGAAATGGGCGTAGTGAGAAAATTGCTGTTTTGATTACTGCGATTTGGCTTTTCGTTATGATCTGTATGATATTTTAACTCGGCGAAATGGCATTTGGATAGTTGGGTTTACAAAAAGGCGCGTTGGCCACTGCATTTTGGGCTGGGCAAACTAAAAGAAGGCATTGTATTATAGACTATTTCAATTATGATATGCATTTGGACTGCCATGGAGACGTGATTCTCTGCGACGCTTGGCTCAGCTTCATGCTCGAATAATGTAGCTCCCCCATCTTGGCGCCATCCCTCGTATCCACATACAGCTCAAAATGCAACACATTTAGCCGATATATCTCCGCGAGCACTAGACCCCTCCATTCTTAGTCATCACAGCCCCAAGCGCTATGCAATTTCACTCATGTGCGCTAGGGCCGCAAGCCCTACTTAGCGCCAAACTGCACAGTTTGATGTCCCGCGTTCCATCTTGACGAACTTTTCTCGACCTCCAAGCCAAGTCAATTGCCCACCAGCTTCACCGTCCTCTCCCCCCAACCAACCATCCAACACCATCAAAATGGCCGGCGGAATCACCGTTCGCGATGTCGATGTAGGTCTACCCTGAAAAAAATGAAAAAAATGAATCTATAGGATTTTTGCCCCCTCAACGAACGACCTCGACGATCTCGCAACTTGCCCCCGAAGAAGAAGAAAAATATCATCGAAGCCTCCGATACTGCGATGTTGTGGTCGGCGCCGTAGAGCCACAGCGGCTTGAGTTGAGAAATACCCAGCTGTCTGAGCCTCGGGACCGACGACATATAACATAGCTGTGAACGAGTGTGGAATCGTAGAGATATATGAAAAAAAGAGAAAACAAAAATTCTTTGAGGGATCTAGGAGCAGGCGCGAGGGAGTCGCAAGACTTCTGACGACGGAATAATTGCTAATGGGATCTTTTTCGTAAATCAGGCGCAGAAGTTCATCGTCGCCTATGCTGCTTTCTTGAAGCGTCAGGGCAAGCTGCCCATCCCCGGTATGTCGACGCTTGGCAATCTTCATCTCACATCTCCAAAACGCCTTTACTAACATTACCCTCAGGTTGGGTTGACACCGTCAAGACTGGTCCCGCCAAGGAGCTCCCTCCCCAGGACATTGACTGGTTCTACGTCCGCGCCGCCTCCGTCGCCCGCCACGTCTACCTCCGCAAGACCGTCGGTGTTGGCCGCCTCCGCAAGGTCCACGGCACCGCCAAGAACCGCGGCAACCGCCCCTCTCACCACGTTGACGCCTCCGGCTCCGTCGACCGCAAGGTCCTCCAGTCCCTCGAGAAGATTGGCGTCGTTGAGCAGGACGAGGACAAGGGTGGCCGCCGCATCACCCAGTCCGGCCAGCGTGATTTGGACCGTATTGCCCAGACCACCGCTGAGGCCGAGGAGGAGGAGGATGAGGAGTAAATTTGCAATAAAAAAAAGTTGAAATTTTTCTAATTCCTTTTTTTCTTCAACTGTCATGGATGGGCGGCATTTAAAATGGGCGTACGGACTTTAGTTTGAGGTGTATGAACAAGATTCCCTCTGGTTTTTGGGCTTTCGGTTATCAAACTGGACGTGTCGCAGCCGTCTCTTCATGATCAATTTGCGTTTCCAAATGAATGTGACTGTCATTGTATGAGTAGATTTCCGCTGCAACTCTTGGTAATGCTTGTAATACGTAGAGATGAGTGTTCAAGGGCAATGCAATTAATCGTTTGCTTCCTGATGTTCGCCGGGAAGGCTCATGTCAAAGAGATTTGCCAACTGAAACCTTTGACTCTTGCTCTGCAGATGTAGATTGAAGATCAGATACAAGGTAGATACACTTGAGTTATTCTGGTTCATACCGGTAATTAAACCACACCAATTTCAGCACTATGAAAGAAAACTACCGAACCATCTCATATTGACAGTAGAACCCCCGAGAGTTCAACATACAAAAGCGAAGACGAAAAAACGCAAATGTCCTTGATGCAGGGTAGCGACTGGATGTAGTAGGTACGAATGAAAAAAAAGGAGTTGAATTATTAAAAAGCTGCAACTACCAAGTAAATACGAAAGGCCGTAGGCGCTCAATAGGACGAAAAAAAGAGCGAGAATAATAATAAGTGTAAAGACCAAACAATATAGAAAAGCGAAGGTTGCAATTACACATGTATGAATATTTGAGCTTCGTTCTTCATGTCCATAGCTCAGACGCAGGCTCTCGCTCGTGGACGCTTACGTAAGCATCTGATTGACTGCGCGGACTACAACACCACGTTCTACCGTGCCAGAGTTGGTGATGTTTCGTTCACTACCTTCATCTTTTGGACATTGCAGCAACCAAATATTCGCCTTTCAACTAGTCCCAAATGGGTTTGTTCAAGATGTACGGCTTCCAGGATGGCATCGTACCATCCAAAGACCGGCCTCTTGGTCACCCAAGTCTCTTCATATCGCCCTTGATATCGCCCTTGATTTGCCCTTGATATCGCTTGTTTTGTGTGAAAAATGGCACATACAACCTCAATCTACGACGTTGTAAGACTGAGGAAGAAGTCAATGCACTATGAGACGTGAAAATCTACAGGGAAGCTATTTGGGAGATGCCGTCGTGGACTTTGACTTTCTCTATGCTCTGGTTCTTACTGGAACATGACCCTCTTCTGCTAGGCGGAGAGAAGAGGTATACCCTTCACCGCCTGCGAGGCCGTATCACCACAAAATACCACACGTGCCGAGTACTTACTAGTCGACGCTGACTTTCCAACGAGTTGGCTTTCAAAAAGATGCCCGCCCAGTCAACCTCTGGAAACACCCAAACTAGGCGAGATATCTCTGGTGAGGACGAGCTCCCCTTCATCACATGCGCGTTTCGCTCGCTAATTACTGCACACAGTAGCCAAAGAATTCAAGCAGCCTTTATCTAGCATTAAAAGCCTGACGGCCAGCCCTATGAATGGCAGGCTGCACTCACCCTCAACATCAACACCTCGCGCCATCACCGGCCGCCATAATGGAGGTCGTTGCCGAGGAAGAGTCTCTCCAACCAAGAAAGCTGCCAGAGTTTGACATATCATTTCGAGATACGCTGCCATCGTTTTATTTCCATCACATCATCGACCCCATCGCCGCAACCCTCCGCGTCGAAGTTCTGGGCCCCAACCTCGCATACACCTTTCGCCACGACCGCGCAAAGGAGAAGCGCATACCAGCCTCCAACCTCTTCAAACGCCTGAGCTGCAAGACCACAGGCTTCCTCGCGCTTCGAACCGACGCCGGCAAGAAGCGCATCGTGCTGGCCTGGGCAGAAAGCGGCCATGGAGTCGGCCCCAACGGTGACTTGCTCGACCCGGAGCCAAGCGTTCTCCCTAATGACGTGTGGGCACAAAGAGTGGTTTCCGTAGGCAAGATGTTCGGCCTACGCATGAACCGCCCGTATGACGGCCAAATCTCCCGGGTCATGGGTCAAGATTTGTCTGGCATATTCCTGGGCGGCCACGTAGAGGTGAAGCTCGCGGTGCACGCCGTCTTTGTCCTGCTCACCAAGTTTGGCATCACACAGGACCTGGACAACGTTTCGCTCAGGCATCTAAAGAGACTGCGCGCCGCACGCTGGGAGGACGGCTCAAGACCTGCCTTTGAGATTTACTTTTCGCGCAAGAATTGCCCCTTTTGCGGCAAATTCGTCAAGACGCTCCAAAAGGCCACCGGAATCCGGCTCAAGCTCATATGGAGAGATCGTCTCGTCAAAATAGTGTACGAAACGAAACAAATGACCAAGACGGGTCCGACGAACCGGCCGCAGCAATCGCAGCAATCGCAGCCACAAGAGGTTATCGACATTGACATGGACGACTGCGTGACAATCATCACCGAGATGACAGAAGAGGTTCGCGCTATTGACCTAGTCGACCTCTCCCGCCTGCGCTCTGCCACTGCTGAGATTATCAACCTTACAGGCGATACCTGCAACGGTGACACCGCCGTCAGTCAAAACAACATTCCCGAAGAACGAGCACCAGATGGACCATTGCCCTCCGCAGCAGACGCCTACATCGACGGCCTGGCATATTGTGTCGGCCAAATCGAGCAGTGCCCTGCAGGCGCCCAAACCGCCATCCTGGAACTCGCCGAGAAACTCCACCAACGCAGTGCAGCAGCAGCAGCAGCAGCAGCAGCAGCCCGTGCCAACATCAGCAAGCCTCTCCCTGCCACGCCTCAGGTAGCTCCGCCAGACTTTGGTGCGGAGGCCACTTTGCCAACTCCGCCATCCAGCGACGAAGATGTGAATGGCGATTCGCTGAGGGCGTTACTGGAGAGCAACTCTCGGAATGAAGAAGATACCTTGAGTCCAGTTCAAACGACAACTCGAATTGAGATTTACGGTGCTGGAGATGCTGGAACAGAATTACCTACAGTTGCTAGTGGAAGTGAGCGTCAAGGCCGCACAAGACCTTCTTTCTACATTGAAATTCCGTCTCGCCGATGGGCCAGCTCTCCCGACCCGTTCTGAACGCTAATTAAAAAACGAGCTCCCGTTTTGAGCAACATGTGAAAGTAATGGCGGCTATTATTTATCTGTTTTATGAGCTTAGACCTCATGTATGAAGGCTACCCAAAGAGCATCTTCTCCATTTTATTTTCATATCTGGGCTTGTTATCATGCCGCATTATTTGCTAGTAACATATCTACATGGCAAGTTTACACAATACACGCAGTATTTATCATCTCTTTCTCCTGTGATGCCATGCTCTAGTTCTCATCTTATTACCCAGCATCAAGCTCTCTCAATCCTCCCTCGCCCTCCCCCTCACAACCCCCCTAAACTTCTCCCCCAACCCCTCCACCACAACCCTCACATCCGGCGCCTTCAGCTCCTCCTCGCCATCCCCCCTCCCCCCAGCCAACTTCCTCCCCCCAAGCCCCAACTTCCCCATCGTCGTAACAAACTTTACATCCTCGCCATGCCGAGGCGGGCCCTCCTTCGAAGATGGCGTAATCACCGTCGTGTCGAGCAGGGACTGCCACTGCGAGAGATAGACGCCCGGCCCAGACGTCATGGATCTGTGCGTAGTAGCAGCAGAAGAAGAAGCAGTAGCGTTAATAACCATCTGCAAGCGTCGCTTAGAAAGCTGCGTAACGGAATCAAGATACCGCGCGTGGGAATCAATCGCCCGAAGCACCTTGTCCCTAGTCTCCTCATCATCAAGAGAAGCAAACAGCCCATTCAACAGCTCCTTCATACTCCTCTTCTTCCCTTCATCACCAGGACCTGGCTGTCTAAACCTCACAGCCACATCCTTCGCCCACCGCCGAAACTCCTCCCACACCTCGGGGCAATTCTTGGCAAAGTCGTGAATCCACCGATACAGCAACCCGCGATTATTCCTCAACAGCACCACGTAATCCTCCACACTCGCCAATCGATCCCCTTCATCCCCGCTCCCCTTCTTCGGCCTACTCGCCCTTATGAAGTCCGTGATAAACCCCTGCGTCGCCTCTAGATAAAACCGCAAATCCACCCGCGAATGCACGCTCCGAATCATCGGCTCGTACGCACCCACCACGTCTTTAACCGCCTGCGTAAACAGATCCGGCGGCGTGCGACACAGCACCGCCGTAATCGCCTCGCGATCATGCACCGACAGCAGCGCAGAGTAGTACTCCAGGCACAGCCTGTGCTGAGCGTCCGTCATGCCCGCCGCAAGCCTTGCATCCTGTGCTTCAAGAATCGTCACGATGATCGACCTCCCGCTCTTGACGCTCTCCTCTCTCGCAGCAACATGCTCACTCCTCGGCAGCGAGACATACATCCGTATCGCCTCGAGCATCTCCTCCGTCGGCGCCGCATCACTCTTGCTCTTCTCAACCTTTTCCGCGCTCTTCTTAAACTCCGACGCGTCCCACGATAAGACAAGCGAAATAATCCGCTGCAGCAGATTCATCCCGTCGTCAGCGTTCGCCGTCAAGCCAACCCAATTCGTCAGACTCGTGACGCTTAGCTTGGCCAGCATCAGACGCATCATGCCGCTAATCATAGTAGCAGCATTGCCAATGCGCAGCGTCTGCTTGATCATCTTGTAGGGGATCAGGCTGTTGATGTTTTCAATGAGCTTGAGGAGATACTGGCCCTCGGGTGAGAGAATAAAGATGTGGTGAGCAAACGTAGCTAGACTACACACTGTCAGCAACCATTCATCACGAAAACCTGCAACAAAACTCACTGTATAATCGTATAATCCAACGCAGCCTTCATCATCGGCGAATGCCCCTCGACATCCTCCGTCCCCTTGACATGATCAAACATGTCGTCCACCAGCCCCCCATACGCCCACTCCCGCCACGCATCCTCAAACGCCCTCGCCAAATCCTCCGCCTTGCCCTCATCATACTTGTCCTCCTCCTTCTTCTCTCCCCCATCAACTCCCCCCAGCAACCCCCTCGCCACCATCTCCATCACGCTACTCGCCCCCGTCGCCAGCGTCTTCCTCGTCCCCATCGCCCCCTTATCAAAACTCTCCGACAGATCCGCCTCCGCAAACCTCGCCAGCAGCCCTTGCATCCGCACATCCCAAAACTCCCTCGGCAGGTCCCTCACGCCGGGGAATGGCAGTACCAACCTCGTCAGCAGCATCTGCAGCACCGGCGATGTCGGTTCCACCTCATCCTTACTACTGCTGCTAGTGTCATCATCATCACTGTCATCACCATTCTCCTCTTCAGCAGCAGCAGCAGCACTCTTCCCCCTCCCCCCAAGCCAAAACGACGACACCGGCGTCCTCGACCTCGTCGGCGTCCCCGGCCCCGACCCGGACTTGGGCGTCCCTCCTCCCACCGACTGCGTCTGCGCCGCGGCCACCTTCATCGTCCTCGCAAAGGGATATCCATAGCCCGTCACCGCATCCGGCGCCTTGAAGCCCTCAATCTCGCCATACGTTTCGTGGTGCGTGAGAATGTCAAACAGCGCCCGCGTCTGAGCCTCGGTGAGTCTGAGCGCTGCTGTCGACGTCGATGATGAAGGCGGCGGTGCCCCTGATGCCGCCTCTTTCGAATCCATCGCGTATGATATCTCGCTTGATTCCTTTTGATATCACACTTCTTCCTCTCCTTCCTCTCACGCTCTCTCCAGGAATTTAAAAGGGCACAGCTAGTAGTATAAAGCCGACCCTACTTATGAAACAAGGTAGCAAGTAAGCTTATCGCATCTTCCCAGGGCTAGCGCAATCTCTAATTAACAGAATATATGTCAAAGCTTCTGGAAAGCGCACAAAGACGTAGTATATAGGTAGATGGCAACGGGTTCAATTAAGACTCGAGTGGCGGTCAATAAAAACGGATGGACATGGAACAAACGGAAGAGGCGGTTTCTACGAATCTTCGCCGAGTAGGTAAGCCGCAGGGAACAGTTTTCGGTTACCTGTTCGGGCGCACCACGGGCGACTTTATTTGATCGGCACAAGCTCAAGCAGCGGCCAAAAGACATTCCAACCTCATGAATACGTAGAGGTGAAGCCAATTGCGGGTTAGCTTCACGCCACCGAGATCATCCTTTTTCGTCTCTATCAAGACCCACTTCAAGCTCAGCGTCTGGAGACGTCATCCTTAATAGCAGTAGACAAGATTATACAGTCAACAGTCTAATTGAACAAAGCAACAAAATGATAACCACATGAAATTCATTTCATCTCAATTGATTCGATTACTAAAACACTAATAGCTATATTACCACCGTGGTATCAGGTAGGCGTACACCAAAAAAGGAGCGATGAGGATATCGTAACAGGATATAATAGGTGCAGCATACAGAAAGAAAAGGAACATGAGCATCGTCGACTAATACACGATAATTGAGGCTCCATTAAGCGGGAAAACCATTAAACAAAGGAAATACGGTATAGGTAAAGAAAGAAGCAGCCTCACGTCTGTCCTTACGGGTATAGAATTTCCACATCTGCGCTCCCAACTGATCGTTCACTGCCTTTTTTCTTCAACATCGAAATTAGCCCACCGCTACATCCCTAGTAAGCAGCGGGAACATGTCCGCCAAGAGGGCCACCGTTTGAGCTTTCGCCAGCCATGGCCAGGCCCTTGCCGTTGGCCAAGCCATTGCCATTGATGTTGCTATGGATGTTGCCATTGAAAGCACCAACATTACCATTTACATTGCCATTGGTGTGTCCACCGGAGACGGCATGGGCCTTTCTCTCGATCCGAGGCACGCTGGGAATGTCGGTGCTCTTCTTGGCGTCGCCAATGGAAAAGACAGGGCTCTCCCACTTGTCGCCCTTGGCAGCGAGCTCCTTGTATTCAGTCGCCTTGGAGCTGATGCCGCCAGGCAAGTGAATGTCGGGGAAGATGCTGTCCTGCTTAGTCACGGCGACGTTGACCTTCTTCTCAGCAACAAAAGCCTCTGCCTTCTCCTTGCCTTGAAGGATTCTCTTCTGCATAGCATTGTAGTATCGCATGTAGATGTTGGCGGCCTCTTCAGGGTTCTCCTTGGCCTCTTCGGCGGCACGATCAGCCTCCTGCTTGACCTGGTAGAGGAACTCGTCGGCCTGGTTGCACTTGTCCTTGATGGCCTTCTCGATTGCCTTTTGCAGCCCAGGGCGGATAGCCTTGAGCGCAAGTGGTTTAAAGAGGCCGAATAGGAGCTTGTGGTTCGACTTCTTAACTTTAAGCTTCAGGCCCTGAACGTTGACGTCTACCTTTTCCACCTTGAACACGTGCTGGGCATCCTTCTTGTCTGGTGTGGCCACCTTCAACCTGAAAGAGAAGCCGTCGCCGGGGAGCACCATGTCGAGCACTCCAGTATCCTTGATGGACGGAAATCCGCTCTTGCGATTAATGTAATAGCTGACATCTCGGAGGTCCATCTGAATACCAGTAACTTTGATATCCACGCTATGCGTGTGCTTGTTTGCAAACTTCTTGCGTCCCCAACGCATATAATTGTCGCTGGCAATCTCGAGGACGTTGGGCATGAAGTTGTCGCTCTCAAGCACCAGATTTTCAATGACGGCATCGACCTGGGGGTCGGAGTACTCGATGCGCGGGATCGGAACATATGCAATGTTCTCAAAGATGGCAGGAACGATGACTTCTGTCAGATCCTTGATGAGATGAGGCTTGAATACAGGCTTTCCGTCCTCGTCGTTGCCCAGATCCTTGAACAGCTTCTGGATGGCATGACCAAATGCCTTGTTTTGAGGATCTTGGTCGAACTGATCGGCGATAAATCTGACCTCGTCAATGACACGGTCGGTGTGGCTACGGTATTTCTCACGGAGCAAGTATCGGCCGTGGTCGTAGAGTCGATTCCAGTCATCGGTAGACTGCTCCTCAAGGACATAGCCCTGCTCCAAGAGGCATTTCCGGATGTAGGTGTCGACCTGCTTGAACCAATCGCTGAGCTCTCGGTCTTGATCGGCATCCTTGTAGATCTGGCTGATTGACTGCCACAAATCTTCCGTCGAAGTGCCATTGGCGAAACGCTCAATCAGCGTACGCAAGTCTTCCTCGGCCGCAGACAGTCCAGTTCGAACGTCCTTGGCAGAGTCGGCAGAGCCTCTTCCATAGTTGCGTCCATGTCGACCGTATTCTTCGGCCAGACGAAGGAGAGTTTGCACGGCCTGCATATAGTCGGGGTGCTGCTGGCATTCGAGCACAATCTTTTTGAGACGGAAAACAACCTGATCTCTGCGCTCTTGAGGCATCTTCTTCTTCAGGTATTCTCGGGTTCTGCGACGGTACTCTTCTTTCCGCGTCTTGGCCTTGTCCTGAAGATCGTCATCGACATTCTTGTCCAGCTTCTCGTTCACTACTGCCTTGGCCGCGTCGGCAGACGTGTTTTGGCTAAGCTGAGTAGTGTTAATGGCACCATTCTGAGGCACCGTTCCCACAGGAGGCAATGCTCCAATCTGAGGGGCCGCATCCGCTGGAGTTGTCACTGGAGGCACGACTCCCGGTGGATGCAAAGATCCCGCCTGGTCCATCCTCGCTTGAGGAACCGTACCAGACTGGTCTCCAAGGGCAGCAGCAGTGACGACATCGTGAGCATCTTGCTTGGGATCGCCCTTGTAGAGCGTTCGCGCCTGGTTCTTGACACCTTCTTTGGAAAGATCAGGCTTCTCGTGCCATGTGTTGTCGGGAGCAGCTTCGTCCATCTGGTTGAGTTGTTCATCAGAGGGGCGAATCTTGTTCGCAGCGTTCATAGCGCCGTCTCCAACCATGTCACGGAGTAAAACAGAGGCATCCTTGACTGTAAACAATGGTCAGTCTCAACGATTCTTCGCCCGGGATAAAAGGTAATGACTGAGGGAGAGTCTACGTACGCAGTTTTCGGAACTGGCCGTTTGTGATGAGCAAAGTGCCCAGAGTTCGCAAACCCTCGAGAGCTTCGTCCTTGTCTCGCGTCGCGGTGTCCTTGGTCAACGGAGCGTTTGGAGACTTGAGGCCCTTAGTATCGTAGTGCGTAGTCTGCCAAATAAAGTCCTGAATCAGGTTGCCGTGATTCTTGGACAGCAGAAGCTGCTTTGCGAGCCTCACAACCTCTCTCGCATCCTCGACCAGCACCTGTCCATCGGCGGAGAGCTTGTTGGAAGGCTTGCTGAGGGCCCTGGATTGCAGAAAGCTGTTCAGGGCAATGTCGATTTGTTCGTTCTAAGCCTGGAGTCAGCAAATAGCCACGAGAAACAACTTTCTAAGATACATACAGAAGGGGTTTTGCCATTCTTGAAGGCATTGAAAATGCCGTAGATCTGGAGCTTGCGGTTGATGTCATTCTCCTTCTGCTTGATGTCGACGGGTTTGTTGACATTAGCAGCCATGGTGAAGGTAGTTGCGATTCTTGGTCTTGATCAATTCGAAGGTGAATTCGGCAAAAAAAGAGAAATAAAAATTGAATAAAAACAAAAGAAGTGTGCCTAGTGGTGTGAGAGGCACGCAGAATGTGGTATCGATTGCAGACGAGCGGAAGAACAGGTCAGGAACACACTCAACAAAAAGGTGAGTGTGAGTGGTCGTTTAGAGATTAGTTTGAGGGGCAAAAAGCAGTAGCTTTGGGGGTATTTGGGTATCTCAGAAATTAGGTACGGATTGTAGCTGATAGATGGAAGAGAGAAACAGGAGCACAGGGCAAGAGCTGCATGCGGCAGTCGCAGTTTATAACACCCAGTGGCAGCTGCCGTGAATTGACACGCGCGAGATGGCTGCTCCTTCCACTGACCCTCAATTACATCAATTCCCATGCTAGCTCTGCCGCCTTGCTAGCGGCATCGAGAATCCAGAAATCAACAAACAGCAGTCGCTGAGCTTGATGCTCATGCCCAGGGCAGTGACGTTGACTTCGAGTAAGAAGTACGTCATCGCGTTGGACAATCTCAGGACGGCAGCGAATGGGAGGAGACCGCCCGAACAGCGCTGTACCTTGACCACAGACAGGGCGTGCTGTAAGTTGGAGGTACCTTTTTGGTCCACAGCTGCCAAGGCCTGGAGCTGTTTTACTTTTGTTCTATACAGACTCGGGGATTAATATTGAGAGAGGAAACAAAAAGAGGCGTATGCGCATTGAGGCATCGTCGGGCATCTGGCCAATGAGACGGGAGAAGAGCAGCTGGTAGCGTGCAAGTAGCCAGGACAGGGGCGTGTGCTTTACTCGCCGCGCACAGACGATCTGCAGCCTAAGCAAAAGCCGGAAATTGGCCACGATGGTTAGCATGTGCTGCGACGCATGAGTGAGACAACACCGTCTTCATCATAGCATGTGCTACTTGACCTACTATTCGTTCTGCACGTGTTTCTTCCCCCCAATTAATAACGAAAATAACATCCTTCTCATCGCATCCATCGCACCACGCATTGTTCCTGAAGCCCAACTTATTAAACTTTGCGCCCTACTGTCAAATACGAGTATCGCTCCGCAAAACTTTTATTCTGGCACAGCCCGGGGAAATCCCCACCTTCGTCTACCGCTGACCCGCTGTGGCGACGGCCAAGGGGGCACCCGAAACTGATGCACGGCTACAGAATGTAAGCGTCATCGAAACCGAACGATGCCTGCATCTTAGCCATGACGAATGCATTGCTTGCTGTACAACCGTCTATTTGTCTACACGGCGCAAGGATATGCATCAATGACAATATTTCATCTCCCGCGAGAAAAGGTTTAGAATAACGTGTGGCTACGGGAACAATTGCCGGCATTAATGGCCAGAAGCGGTAATGACAGTAGCTCATCTTTTCTACTATCGAGTATGAAATCAGGTCAAGTTGCTTTCATGTCCCTGACCGGCTAACACGGCCAATATATCACATTGGCATGATTATGGAATGTGCTGGCGTGCTAGAACATCTCGATCCGCTTCCGCATCTGGCCATCTGAGACAAAGCACCAGAGTACTTCCAAAAGCAACCCTCGCAAATCAATTCCGGTTTTAATGAGATGGCACACACGGCTACATGCAGTTAGCACAGGTACCTGGTAGCAGTAAAATGCCCGAAACAAGCCAGTCCACACGATCATTCCAAAGAACAAAAGAACAAGCAATCCATTGTAGTATTTAGCTCAATAACGCCGTTGCAGTGTATCTATCATAAGGTAAAACGTGACCACAGTAGTATGCCCCTAAGCCATCAACTGGCTTCCTCACCAGTCGGTGCTGTTCTTGATGCAGTGCCCAGATCATTAAAGACTTTTGCCTTAATCTGAGCCGCCATCAGCCCAGACATCTCCTTAGTCGCAACCAAGTTCGCATCCTGAGCAAGCTTTTCCACCGCTTTATCCGACGCTCTTGCGCCAGGCATCATCGCAGACGCAACTCTCGAGCGCATAATGCTGGAGGTGGCCTCTTTAATCTTGGAGCTCAAATCCAGCATTTGCTTGTTGCCGTAGTCGCGGTTTGTCAGCAGCGGGTCCTGGCTAAGCGTCTGCACCCAGTATTTGTGCCACATGAGCTCCAGGAGGTGCGAGTCCAGGGAGCTCTTGAAGTGCGAAACTTCGAGGCTGTAGTATCGACTTGAGTGGGCGCCAAACTCGGCAGCCTTGTCAAGAGGGATTGCTTGGAACCCGTCAGACGTCTGCCCCCCGGCGTCGGCCTTGTGATGCGCAGGATAGGTTCGGAATGCTCCAATCTCGACCTTGCCGGCGCTGATGGTGCGATCCGGGTCGATCACCACCGCCAAGAACGGATCCTGGAACTGCTGCTGTAATGCCTCCGTCTCAACGTCAATGCCGCTGAGCCAGCAACCGTATCCCGGGTGGCTGTGATACCATCCAACGACGTTCTCTTCTCTGCCCTGTTTGCGGCACAGGTCCAAGTATTCAATCAGATATTCGTTCGCTTCATTCTGTGCGTTGACTCGCGTCTCGGTTCCTTCGACAGGCAGTCGGAAAGCGTCCGTCACCACAAAGGTCTCTCCATCGATGTGGCCCTGCATCAGGCCCATGACTTCAAGTGATCCTCCAGATCGAGCGTGCATCGTCATCTTAATCAAGGCAACGGCGCTGATCCTCACGTATTTGAAGTAGTTGGGGTCTGCCCTCCACGCTTGAGCAGCTACCACGGCCTTTTGGGCCTCGGCGTTGAAGTTGTATAGCGCATCTCGCTTGGCGTCGACCAGCTGGACATTGTTGTCCAGCTCTATCACGTCACATCCGTCAGCTGGAATTCATAGAATCAAACCGGGAATCGTCATGACTACTTACCCCAAGCTGTACGTGCTGCGGCCTCCATCCTGAACTGCCGGGCTGGTGTTTGGCAGAGCTAAGATGGATGGGCGTGACGAAGCTCAGTGGAGGGAAGCTGTCACGGTTGATCTGCCCCGCCTGGAGACATCGCACCGCTTTATCGATTAGCGATAAGGCTAAAGTGGGGACCTAACATCCAGCTCCAGGCATTCTGTTCCGAATAATCAAGTCTCTGTCTGCTTCAGTCCCATTTCGACTGCCTATTAGTAAGAACTGGCTTCTTACAGTGCAACCAGGGCAGCTAATCGTTTTTTTTTAAACATTTTTGATGTTTAATTTTAGTGTCTTGCCGTTCTATATGTCCTTATGCAACCATGTTTCCTCGTTAATAGCGCAAGCTCACACTGAATATAGCGGGGACTCTCAGCTTACAACAAACTGGACGTTCTACTCTATGAGCCTTTTAAGCTATTATGCAACACTTCAACGAACTTACTTGCGATTGAAAAGTTTTGATCACTTTAACTCCGGTTCTAAGCATGAGAGTCTCCAAGCAAATGGGACACAACCACTGCTTGAGACAGAAACTCGCTACATTTCACCTAACATCACCATAGGACATCACCGAGGCACCACCAAGGCCGACATCTGTCAGTGAGTTATTTTGATCACGGCTGTGACAAGAACCAAATTTCCAATATACCTAAGCCCGTTTTGCACCGGCTCCACTACCCGGTGTGGCGTCTCCTGACCGCTTCGTCGATAATAACGGCATTTACGCATAATCACACAAGACAAGGCGGGCGCAAAGCTGGCTTCAATCACATGCATTCTACACGAATACAATCCAAGCAACAGACAAATGGTGTCAGAAATGATACATGTACATGGTCAATACCGTCAATCAGCCTCATATCCTCAATGGTTACCATCCTGTCCACTTTTGAGAGTTGATCCGTCCATGCATGACACTTCTTCTCGGCATATACTCTGCAGCTTTAGTAGCTGCAATAGAACATTAGCATATCCCTTCCGAAAAATCAACGGGAGGCGAAGAAGAGTTACTTGAACACGAGAACCCCATCCTCATTTCCAATGTAGTCGTCCAAATTGATAACTTGCTCCTCCGCCAAGGAACCATCCAGCCTGTACAAGGAAGTGATGAGCAGCGGTCCCTCTAGTCTCCACGATTCCACGTCAACAGTGTCAAAGATGCCGCTGCCTCCAAACTCAAAGAATCCATCATTGTTGCCGATGTATTCATTAATGTCGAGCACGCTCTCTACCCAGTCACCAGCCTCGGTGGCGACGGTGGCAACGAGCAACGAGCCGTCAAGGCGGAAGTCCTGTGCGGTCTGAGAGAAAGCCATGTTGTAGTGATGAGATATGATGATCCAAGCAAATGATTGTAAATGTTCAGTAGAGTTATCTGAAAGACAGAACGGGTAGAGGCTCCTTAATATAGGCCTCCTTGTTAGAGGCCTCCCTATCTTCCGAAAGACCTCCTTATTACAGACAACATGGTGCTATCCAGGCTTTCACATTTTGGGCTCAGCCGTCCAGGGTCCTGCAGCAGCAGTGTGCTCGAGTTTCACGTTGTGAGTGGAGGCGCATTGCAGACGATTGCCGTGAAGCCGAACTGATGCCCTGACGCTGAGCGAATTTGCTGTGTATGCCACACAGCCCCATAGGGAATCCTGGTTAATGAGGGGTAGCATCATTCCATGAGAGATAAAAACGAAGCAGCGATGAGTCTGCTGAACAGAGCCGCAGAGGCTATGATGATGGAAGCCATGGAAATATATTGTTTTATGCCTTTTGTTCTAGTGGCTTGGCGCCTTCTATCAGACTGCAATAATTGGATAAGAAAGACATGCTAGTGGACAATCTTAGATCGATCGCTTTCTTGGCTCTGCTGGCGGTTTTGCATCCAACCGCGGAATCTTGGCGGTCAGTACGACCCTGAAACCCCCGCTCAGTTGCAGGATTTGGCCCCTCTGTTGGAGTCGAGATTCAATATATCCGAAGCTGCAGTGATGCATAGGGATAAATGGGTGGAGTTCTAAGCTCTGTAACTCGTGGTATTGGCGCAGATGGATCGTTACTAACAAGAGCTCGTAAAAAGAGGACAGCACTACGGATTGTTAAATCTTTCGACTACTGTGATTATATACGCAATGAAACCTCATAGATGATCTATAGTGCTCTGATTATGTATTTGAATTATCAAAGAATTTGCGGCTCAAAATTTGAGTGTGTATTTGGGCTTTTGCTGTAACCGGGTAGCATTCGTGAGACAAGCCTGTTCGGGCTGTGCAAGATGACCGCACTAATAACCGAGCATAATACCAGCAACAATGGTTTTCTTCTTCTTCTGCTTCAGCTTTGCATTTTGTAGCTACGTGCGCTTCCGGAAGAAATTGCACATTCACTTGTAAGCGCATAGCTGCCATCGCTACGGTTCAGGAGACCGCAAAGTCCCCACTGATCGGACCCAACTCTGGTATCATATACGCGGGCCTATTTCCCAATTCTACCTCTGAGCCCGGATCACCACCCCGTTTATTCTCGACCTTCACGGCCATGCTTAATTGAACGCAGAGATTGCCATTTCGATAATCTCGATTGTTCCGGCGCTACCAAGTGCGCGATGAGCCGTACCCGCAGATTCAGCATGTAGATCGTGGAAAAAGATAGATTAACAACAGTAGGAGAGTGGATTCTTCAAGAAGTACTAACATCATGTTGGAGTTTTTTCTCCGAAGCCCACATTAGTTGACGACGTTTCACGGGAGTAAAAAGCGGGAGCGTGAGAATGGTATATAGATAAAGAATAGATGTGGTATAAGTACATGCAAAATAGCGAGGAGATTCCAATGAATCTTCACAAGCTGGCTCCCAGTTTGATATATCCAACGCCGTGCTCAACACACAAAAAGCACATTGTAAAAAGCGTCCCTAGTTATTAAAATTTTCTCTCTCAGAAAGTCGGCTAGAAACAGAATTCGCCGCCTTCCTCGAAACAAGCACCCATCGTTTCCACTGAGCCACACAAAACCTTTTTCAAATTCCTCTCTCTCAATTTTTTGACGTTGAGACGAGCAGACCAGTGTGGACCTCGCCACCGCCAATGTTGGGATCCGTCAGGTTGTGGGTGGATAACGGAGAAGGCTTGAGGTAGCAGTCTCCAGGAGCGTGTCCTTGCAGCGCAGTGGCCAAGACACTCCATTCGGGAATGAAGGAGACGCCCACGCATTTTCCTTTTGTCGTGTTGTAGTGGTTCCATCCGGCGCAGGCATCCATGCAGCCTTGGAAGGTGTTGGCGAAAACAGAGTATACCGGCGAGAGGCTGTGGGTATCCTTGTCGCAGTACATGGTAAAGTTGGCATTGTCGAAAGCTAAGGAGAAATTAGAATCACTGTTTTTTTTTTTCCCCTGAGAGACAAAAGACACTTACATTGAGATGTGTACCTGGTTCCGTTGACATCTCCCGGGTTGTCTGAGCACCCATTGGTGATGCTGTTCCAGTCTGTTGGAGTAGAGGTTCCAGAACTGCTGCTGCTCGAGGAAGTAGGCGTGGCTTTGGCCTGGGCTGCAGACAGTGAAGCCTTCAACTGCCGCACTTGGGACTGTGCATCGTTGTAATTGCTGGCTGCGACTCCGGTACCAGCTGCTAATCCAATAACCGCGGCAGATAGGATGGCGATGACGATTGATAGAAGAAGAACGAGGGAGATTCCGCAGACAGTAGCAGCAGCAGCCGCAGGAGGATGAGTCTTTTCCGGGTCAGCGGATCCTGGAGCTTGGTATGAGGCATCATGAGACATGACACCTCCTACAGGCACTCCAGTTCCAGGTCCAGCCGCTGAGCCAGGCTTCACAACGTCGGTGTATTGCCCATTCTGTCCATAGGCACTGGGTGGGTAGGCACTTTGCGGCTGAGAGACATATGTCGGCGCGATAGATGGCTGAGGCGACCAAACTGGCTCCGGATGCGACTGGTGATAGGCCTCGGGCAAGTCATGACCGGGTGCCACCTCGGGGAAATCGTCGTGCTGAGAAGACATGTTTGTTTAGTCTGGGAGAGAGATCTTCACTGGTCTGTGTTGCTTTGCAAACTTACAGTGGGAGTCATCTTGTAGGCGTACGGATACGTCTTATTCGACATTCGAGCAGAGCCCCAAGACCTAAAAGACCACCCGGGGGCAGTTGGGGGCCTGCAGAGCTTATGAACGATTTCTGATTTATTTTGGGCCTGCCTGACTGGCCTTTCTTCATGGAGCGAGGGTATCGATCAGGAGAATGGGAGGCGAGGATCGGGGGGACCCTCTATCTTGCCCAGTCCACCTGTCTCTCGCAGGGATCTACTGCATACATAACCTATTTGGCATTCAAACAGCAGGTGGAGTCTCTTGCTCAGCCCTACATCTCCAGGCCATGGGAGGCATGTACTGCCACAATATTCAATAGCGGCCATGCAGTGTAAAACATGCATACTTGTACATGTCAGTTTGCAAGTGCCAAGTACCTATCTGTAAAGTGTTCCATCGTCAAAGCAGCATTAAGGATGCGCCCTCATCGCGTGTCATCCCCCTCACTGGAACTGCAAATCCTTGGATCAGCTCGTCTCTGCATGGACAAGATTGCCACGGCAAAGCAGGCAGCACAAGATTCACGCGACTTTGGAATACAAAACAGCCCAAAGGGACCCTCAACACTAGCGCTGACGTTGCCAACATAACCATACGAGGAGGTCCCATGTAAGCCACGCAAAAGTTGGCGGCGGCGCAGATTGTTTCCCCCCGGGATCACCCTTAGCTCAGGTGGACTTTGAACCATCCCGCCGGTTATCCGCGCTTGGCTAAGCTGCTGGCCACTGTATCCGGCAATTGAGTGATTAGTCGAGGCCCTCTCTTCGTCTCATCACCGTCGCTATGTTTAGCCGCCTGCAGAACCGCGCCAACCAGTCAGGACGGCGAACAGCCCAAAACCTGAAATGAACCAGGTCACCGCCCGCGTGGGAAAATATGCTTGGCTCATAAGCTAGCCTGGTGCTACATTAGCTGGGGTCTATTTTCTACAAGGTCCAAAAGCAGGAGTCGCTAGATTCTAGCGCCGAACATTACTCGGCACATCATTCAAGTATTAGCCCGAATCGAGTTGTGAAGCAACGGCCTGATGTAAGCCGAGGATGGCCTTGGATTAAGAAACCATCATTCTCATTCTTGTGTGGTAAACAGTTCAAGGGCCAAAGAACGCCTTGCAGGCCATATCGCTTTTCTTGTTCGAACGGCATAAACTCGTGTAATAGGGGTGTGGAGTCACAGGCCCTGCAATCAACTAGGTATTGGCGCAGGGGAAGAAATAAGTGGATAGTAGTTTGTTGAGCCTCTTTTTGACAAAAAGAGAGCGAGAAGAAAGAGAGAAGAAAAAAAACGGTTGATGGCTTTTGGCGAACACCCAGGGCGAGTAACCCTTGTTTCGGCGACTTCGAAACCTTGCCACTTGGATCCTTCTGAACTAGCTACACGACTACACGACAAAATGGGCCATCTAGGAAATTACTGATACCCGACACTATGCCCATCTGATTACTATTTTGATTAGCTAAACGCAAGGCTTGTGCGTTTATTTTTATACGTACTTGCTTGCTTGGCGTCCGTCTCTGCTCTTTATATAGGTAGCTGCGCCTGTAGAAGCGCGGCTCAGCCTACCAGTGGCCGCCAGCAACCAGACTAATGCACAGGTGTGTATGGATTGGGATATGCAAGATTCCTCTTCATTTTATCAAGCCACAGCACAATTTGTCCAGAGCCAATCAGTTGAGCGTTCCTTGAAAGGCCGTGCAATAACAGAAGGAGCATGAAACAAATCGCAACGCACCTACAGCCATTATGGCTGTTATAGTTAAAACCTCTGAAAGCATGCAGTCGCGCTTAAGTATCCGTGTTAAGACTCGGACTCATTTCGCCGATTTCAATGGATCCAAGGGCGTATAAGGTTAAAAAGGGAAGAGTGCTCGAAACAGTAAGGCTTTGTGAATCCTACGAATGGCTATTCTTGATTTGTCAGAGGCTTTAGAGCTAGACAAATATCGGACGAAAGTCGCGATTGAATCCGTTGAAAACCACCTTTTACCCCGAACTTTCCTATTCAGCTTTTGAAGCTCTGTCCAATTATACAACATGCCACCCATACGTAAGATAGAACCGATTTATTCTCTTCAACATGAGTAAGTATCGACACAGTGAGGTTATGATTTCTCAACGTGAGAGGAATCTGTCGGCTGTTACCTATTCTGTAGCCCCCATCATCGCGACATTGCATAGAAAGTATCAGTCTCATCTAGGTTTATTACCTTCAACTCTTACGGACGGTTCAGGTATACCATCGAATATAGAAATACAAAAAAATCAAAGCGTCTTTGTAATCCGTACTTTCAACCCTTCTAACTTTCTTCAGGCATATGCTGTGATCAAAGAGATGAGTCTGCCCCTAAACATGTAGGGGCAGAGACGCAATTCGGATGAATGTCCGGACAGCCTCTTTACCGTATTAGGTATTACAGGTATTATGAAACACTCAACTGAGATTGAGCAAGACAAAAAGGATCAAGGATGAGTCCAAACAATAGTCAAGTCAAGGATCCGAGAGCTCGGCATAGCCGTCCGGTGATACGGCAGAATCTGCTACACCCGCCAACTCGGCAGTATCCTGGAAGTGCTCTGGTCTGCCATCAGACGCATAATTCGCTGTTAACATACATCATCAATCCCTCAGGTTCATCACCAGGGGTCACAATGGGCTTCTGGAATGCTACCTGTTTAAGGGGTAGCAATCTCTTTGATTGTATATCATCTCTCAGCCAAGGTTACAGCAAGATCTCAAGAGTCGTCAAGCTGAAATATACCTGGGCCTATGACAGTCTCTTGCCATATGAGCTCGAAACATGCCGCCCGAAGTAGCTGGGACCCACAAGAATCCTGTGTATCACCATAAGCTGACACGGCATCGAATGCTGCCCCTTTTCTAACGTTCCGTGGCATATGTGGAGCATCTTAGAGCCGCATCCGTAGAGAAAAGCATACGCTGCAAAGAGCCGGCTGTCTCTCAAGTGCCCAAAAACATTATTGTTAAACAAATCAAGGCGTTCATTGCACAGATCTTAAACTATGAAGAGGGAATAGGTTTTGGCCACAAAACATCAATATAGGTATTAGAGCCAAGTGCTACAGATTGTTGCGGATGAAATAATTACGCCGCATTTTGCAGTGAGATTGGTAAATGTAACCCCAATACCAGTCTTTTTGGTGAATCCTTGGCGTACTTACCATTCCTAGAGATAGCTGCATTCGCTCGGCCCGGCTTTCACATGCCAAGAATCGATAATCAGTGCCGATTGAGATATCAATCGCACACTAGCCCATCCGCACAGCCGAGTTCATCTAGATACAGCCATAGTAGATAATATAATATCTTTTACCAGTCCCCAGCATGTATGTTGGACTATGACCAAGCCTTAATGTTTAAATACTGTTCATTGATACTCGAAGAGAATTAATTATTCCCCTGTGTGACCGTGCCACGCAACATCTGGATTATTAAACCAAGATTTGTATTTCATAACGTAGACCATGATAGGGGGTCTGTTTGAACTACCTGCAGCGAGTTGAAGTAAAAGCAAAAGAAAACAATGAGCGGAAGCTTCAATAGGCTTTCAGTATACTACTTTCTCCAGATAGTTTGTAACGATCCGTTATACCGTCAAGCCAACAGGGCAAAAGATTAGGCCAATAACCACTATAATAGCAGTTACTGTAACGGAACCAGCTGCTTATAAGGGATCTACCTGTTACGGGGGACCAGGTCGTAACATAGTTGTTGTTTGTGTGCTTTGAGATCGAAGCATCCCGTGTCGATTTGATTGGCTCCGAACATACCTAAGCAGACCAAGATATTTTTGAAGCACATCATTGCGGCGAGGGTTTTCATTTTGAAGTTTTGAAGAAAATGGAGAGCGGCAGGAAAAGTTGTTTAGAAACATTGTCACTGAGTCAGCTGAAGCCTACATTTCATCTTCGTCAAAGTCAGTGATCGCCAAGTCTATTTGCAGCAGTATTTGTGTATGACGATGAGTCATATTAAGAGACAAGAGCAGAGGGAGGAAGACAAACGTATAAAAGGAAAACATATTATACCTAGTACTGACCATAAACACACATTATGTGCTCATTGCCTTCATATAAACGAATGATCACCCGAATGCCGTCCCTCTTTCATTGACGGCTTGATCAATCTGAAGTTACCTTGAGAGATCAAACCCATCTGGTGATATAGTTATGATAATGAAATTAGGCTAATAGTCTTAGGGTAGCTGGATTGACCACGGTCCAAATATCAGATAAGATTGATCTTGACGGAAGGATCACCGGGTATGACGATCTGCCCCTCTTCTATGCAGCAGATCAGACGCGTGCATGAGCGGGGGAGATGGCTCGCCTAGTCTGTCTCTTCCATAACCGGTTGCAAAGTTCATGGAACGGCTCTTCATTCTCCGCGGCCCTCTAATATCGACAAGAATTGAAGCTTGAGGCTGTACCAGGGCAGAAAGGCAAGATGAATCACCAAAGCAAATGTATCCCGATGGAGATATTCGGCCTTGTAGGACCCCTCACTTCAAGCTGATCGTTCTCCATTGACGATTTCAAGATTGCGGCCGAGAGCTCAGACGAGGTGCTCAAGAATATTCGCCTCAGCTGCCGCGCTGGTCGAGAAATAGCAACCCCAATGCTGTTCCGATGCTTCAGCGTTCAAACCATCAATCATCATACAATAAAGAGGCTGCAAGAAGTGGCGACGCGTCCGCAAATCGCTTCTTTGGTCAAGAGGTTCGAATATCAACCTCGTATCCGCAAGAGCTCACATAGTAATCAAATCTGCGTCCTAGAATTAAAAATGGTAATTGACATTCCTAGATGAGGCTGAGCGTCGACAGCTGAGGGAACAAAACGACCTCCTCCATCCGCCAAGTCGTCTCGTTGGAGGCCTCGTTACTGCGCTCAAATCCTTCACCCAACTGCGCCATATTGAACTTCAGTATCCTCCTTTTGGAATGCGCACGGGATACAACAACCGTGGTCTCCGCATCTTGATAAGTGTGACTCGGAACATCTACAGCAACATATGCCCTCGATTGGTTTCGTTCCGCGTTGCGGGTCTTTTACTAATTGACATACCTCCAACTCTTCCATCAGATGCGGACGATGGCATGGGAGCTGCTCTCCCGCTTATTGAGCGACTCGATCTGGACTTTCATCCTGGTGACATGCCCAGCGGCGAGATGGTGCGCATTGAACCCAATGGTGGATTACGCCGACTGCTCAGTCTGGTGACAAATCTCACTTCTCTTCGCGTTGGATTCCATTTATTAGAGAGAAGCATGAGATTATTTGACTGGTCAGCGCTACAATGTACAACGTTGAACACATTGGAGTTGGTACAGCTAGAGATGTCAGGAACGTCTCTGGTGACCATCATAAATCAAAATGCCCATTCGATCCGACAAGTCATTCTTGAGAGTGTATATCTCCTTGACGGCACGTGGGCAGCGATTTATGATGAGATTGCCATTACTGAGGGGATCAACGACATATCCGAGATTCATGGCAGGAGATATGTGGATGGCCGTGACTCTATCGACACAGAGCTTGACGCTGCTGGTTATCGCCGGCTGTTCGCGGTGGTGGAAAAACGGAGAGAGAGCCAAGGTTTACCGTCAATGAGGTGGCCAATTTCGCCAGCAGGTTTCGTTTATCATCGCGATTTCTCGTACTTGGAAAGTAGCTGATTCGAGCATGGACGGCTCCTGGGTACAGCTCTATTTCATAATGGCAGCAGTGTTTAAAAGTTGCAACTTTTCTCACGGCCGTCTAGGCACCGGAGAAAAGACGTTTTGAAGCTTTCAGCGACGGCGATACTATTACCAGTATTTGAGAAATGGATGGTTGGGGACAGACTGCACCTCTCAGAAATATTCCGAATATAAGAACGCGAACAATCATTTAATGGATGTTAGAGAGCAACGGTATGCTTGCCAAGTTCTTCTATTGTATCATTGTTCATGTGAAATTGTGATATACAGATTTATGATTCATGACGTCGTGACGTGTGCTGTGAAGCAGTCGTTCCCTTTCTCTAACAGGTTCTCTTACCCCGAAATCATTCGATCAGTAATATTCCTAATCTTGTCCGATAAATATTGTCCACTTCCCAACTCAAAATGAGAGCAGCCGCCTTGCTCCTCGCATTCGCCCAGCATGCTTGACCAGTCTTTGCGAACAATGTTTATCAGACCCTGAGGAGATCCCCGAGCTTCCAAGCGTTGTATCCATTCCTCCTTTAACTCGCGAAGCGGATAAACCAGGGCAAAATCAAGTCTCTCCTCAGCCAGAGCCGACCGTATCTCTTCATGCGTTGATATCAAGACGATGGTATTTGGCGCTATTGACGCCCTCACTTTTGCCATGTACAGCTCCTTGAAGTTGCTTGCGCGCTGCCCATTCTCTTTGGGTATTACTGAGGAATCCAAATCTAAGATACTGAATCCGGATAGATCGAGGTGTTTTGAATTTAGAGTGAGCCATGTTTTCCCGCTGGCGATAAAGGCAGATATGATGATACATCGCTCCGGTAAAGGGCGTCGTGGCGGTGGCTGCATGATTGGATGGCGGGGTATCTTTTGCGTCTAAACAGCGTTCTCCAACTTCTGTGAGTCGAATGCGACAAGATATATCATGTGTTGTTCGTCAAGAGGCCTCTGGACTGTGTTCCAAGATCAAGGCAAGGCCGTTTGGTGGGCGCGACCAATTATTGGGCGTGCAGTGAATGGCTTTTCAAGCCTCGCCATCAATAGAGATTTGCAAGCACAGCCACCCGCTGCCTGATGTCTAGTAAAGGGGGGTTCTAGGCGAATAGCAGGGCTTACTTATTCTCCCAATTGAACCTACTGCGCTTAGCCGTGAGACCCCAACGGCCAGCGATAAAATGCCTCGTGAATTACCTGAGCTCTTGCCCGAGGCTGGCGCAGTTTCCCACTGGAACTGCCGCACCGCTTTGTTCTTACTGGAACAGGAACGTGACTGATGCAAGGCTAGATCCGTAGTTTCGCTGCCTTAGAGGCGGATAGTGTGGAGTGACCGGGCTGTGGCCTTAAAAAGAGTACATGTAGGCAGTGGGTCTGAGTCGTGAGACAACAGCAAAATCTCGGATCCAGCCAAGTATAAGTAAACGGCAATCACAACGCGACAAAAAGGAAAGAGAGTCACATAATAACTTTCACCCGTGACACTATCATACACAGTAGGTACTAAGGTACTATTGCTGGCACAGAAATAAATGACATGCTCAGGCTGATCAAGATACGAGGCATAATTTATAATTGACATTGAGAACGAAAACAAGTGTTTTTATCATGGCAATTTCTCATTATTACATTCTTTTTCCTCAATAGCTAAATACACTTACTACCTCCTACTTAGTGTAGTTCCCCCTTTGGGCGTTTGCAAACTTTGGGCGCCTAATCGTAATATGAGACACGGTGTGTGTGTGTGTGTGTGTGTGTGTGTGTGTGTGTGTGTGTGTGTGTGTGACCATGCCCAACGCGCCACTCTGTGAGGATTGGAGGTACCTGAGCCTTTAGGCACTCATGCCATCTCCTTGCTGGGGAGCTTGGAATTTACTCTCAGGGCTGTCGTTTTCGCTAGTTTTGGCTTTGCGCCCGTTGATCCTATTTCCCTGGCATAATCTCGCCGATTTACCCCCCTGGATGTCACCCCCAAATTCCGATCCCTCTTGCCTGAAGCTTTCGGATGGACTGCCGTCGAATATGTTCCCCTGGTCGAGCGAAGCGTTTTCACCAAGCACTATCGTACTTTTGAACCTGGAGCAGCCTTGAACAATCGTGTAACGCTGGTAGTGGACCTGAGTTGAACAATTTGATGTTGCGCTATGTAATAACATTAGTCTTGCAACGCCTCTTTCATCGTAAGGGAAGGGGTGATTCACAGTGCTGGTGCTTGCGTAGATCCGTCACCCAACAGCTGGCCAGGGCTTTTCATCGGATCCGAGGGCTTGGCTGTGTCAGATATCCATCGATATAATCAAAAACAAATGATCAAAAATGGCGGCATACCATGGCTTTTGATGGGTGCTTTTGTATCGCTCACAGGTCGGTTTGTAGTAGGGATCTGTAATTGTCTTTTTGTCTCGAGCGGAAGTGTGCACATCCAGAAAATGTATCAGCAAAGTGTTCTGGTCAGAAACAAAACACTCCCTTCTCATGCTCGTATCAGATTATTATATAGATTTCCAGCTTTTTGATCACAGTGCCGTGGAAGCATGCAAAGCACTAGGACCGGCGCTTATTCACACACAGAAGCAAAGTTATTGCCACTAACAGCTCGAAATACAAAGCGCTCTACCAATGGATAACATACCTGCTCGAAGCATCTGCCAATAGGAAAGAATGTGCATGCGACGGCTCTTGATAGCGGAGAATTTAATCTAAGATTAATCAGGAAATTGAACTATCATTTTTGGACAGTCGCGGCTAGCCGGTCACTCATGTCCAAGCACCCATGTACATGGATCGCTGCTTGCAGTACACTTATGTGTGTATTACTACAGGTACCTTAGGTAATTAACATACAGGCCAGTCTTGTCTTCACTCTCTAGCGTGCGAATATTCATTCTGTATGAACCATAGATAGAATATACGGGTGTTCTTGGAAGGCGAAATGGATATTCGCATAGGTATATAAGGATGTACGTGTGCAGTGCTACTTTTGCCTAAGGTAAGATAGGTAAGTGCCTAGGTACCCTTAAGCGACTTTGTCCTCGCCACCATGGACGGCGGTCAGGACATATCCCTTCTGGACGGCGAAAAAAGTCAACTGAGGGCGCTCTTGACTTTCCGGATAAGCCTGAGCTGCTCGAGTGCCTTAATGCGCTGCGGGATGCTTAACCTAGTAGTAGGCTTTATGATAGTAAGGCGAGCTAACTGCTGCTGTATGATTTTGCATAGGAAAGCTATACTAAAGGTTAGAGAATATGCTATAGACTAAGTTACATTTATTAGAGTAATATAGTTACTATGGATAAGATTAGAGACTGTTTGAATAGTGTGCGCCTGTGGAGCTCTTGCCCCTAGTGGGCCGTTTGCAATTGTAGTAGCACTGGGGAAGACAGGGGTGGGCAGCGATTTGATGGCACTTATTCTGCACTGTTGCGTCGCCGCGCTGAGTTGCCTCCTTGCTGGCGTGCGCAGCTGCAGCTGCATCGTCATGCTTTTTAGTAGTAGTAGGTACTAGTCTACCTACTAGACTACCTTAGGTACCCTACCTAAGTGAGTACGTAGGCAGGCAGGTGCTGGTAATGTCAGCCTCTCTTGGCTTTATCTTCCCTCTCGTCTCGGCAAGAAGCATTTCGGCAATCACTCAGTGCAAAGACAAACGCAAACAACGTTTCTTTGCTTTTTCTCAGATTCGCTGGCCTGTTTTCCCCCTTTTCTTTCCTTTTTTTCAATGGGCCTCCGCGAGTGTCGTATCGTGCACTTCTGCGTCCCTACCTAATTGCCACAGCTAGCAAGTTCATTGGTAGGTAGTAGTTAGCTCTTTTCTTCTTCCCCCTTCGTGCTTCGCTTCTTTTTTTGTGCATGAGCGTGGGCTGCGTAGCATTTAGCATGTGTCACTCTTTCCTCTCCCCTACTCTAACCTGCTTGATCCATCTATCATTTGTAACAGGCAGCGCCGCCCGCGATCGTATCCAGCTCGCTGGGCAAATCTGACGGGTCGCAAATCTGAACCAGCGTAGCTAGCCGTGGCTCCGGCTGGAAGCGGATGCTCAGCGGATGTTCCCTACATGGCTTCTTTCTTCCAAGGGCTTTTTCCCTCTTTTCACACCCCCAGGGCGGGCACAATCAAATCAGGACAATGAATTTGAGATTGTGGTCCCCGTCGAGAAATCCAGAAGTTGCGAGGCTTAGCCTTCCCAAGGCTGCCTGTTTGCTTCTTGCAATAAAAGCGATCGTCGTCGCCCAGTTTTTTACACTTACATGGCTCATAGCTAATGATCTCAATATCGCCGAAACAACGCGCGCCCCGACCACATGCAAAGGACACCTAGTCCAGTTTTTTGACTTGCTCTTTTCATTGTCGGAACACTGATCACTCAGTGGTGGAATTTTGCGTGGGTGGACCGGAGTTGTGCAGTAGTCTATTTTACCACAAGAGTTTCAATGGCTTCAGCTGTATTCTTCTGCTATCTTGGTACTATCCTTTTGACCGGGAGTTTTGCCTGTGAGCCTAGCAAATCACTCGTCTCAAAAGTTCCCTATTCATTAATTAATAATATTAGATAGAATGCTAGGCTACTATATCGCATATTACAATCGTCTGAAGCTTGTCAACAATTCTAAGCTTATCTCTTTACCTTCTCAATACTCATTCCTGCTCGATCAAGATGGAGAAGATTGTGCTCTCATCAACGCAGCCGAATTTACGTATAAATACTTTCGGCTTCTGATCAAAAGACCGAAAAAAGCGTACAAGGAGTTTTGTAACCTAAAGGTGGCCTACGATGAGTGCCAAATGCGTTGCGCAGAACTGCAAGCCAAGTACACCGCCGATCTAAACCACAAGAATCAGAGAATTGCCGATCTCGAGATGCACATTGAAGAAATAGCGCGTTCTCGTGATCAAGAAACGATCTTTCACGATACAATCGGGTTGACCCAATCGGGGGGTACCTACGGTGGCTCAATTGTTACGTCGAGTGGGCATGTCAGGCAGGGCAACGATCTCGCTGGTAAGCTACCTGTACCTGTATGCGCTGCCTTCGGACAATAAGCTAAAATAAGAAAGATCTAAGAAACCAGCATCCTTTTACCTTTGTAATTTACGGAAGTGCACATGTGGAAATACAACAAATCTGTACCCCAGCCGACTGAGAGAGGTCCGAAATACACGACGAGCGGCCCATAAAAGCCAATGAAGGAAGATTACGTGCACGCATACTCATGAGCAGGAACAAGCATTGAATACCCCTTTTCAGTTGATTACAGCCATAGAAATTCCCTAGCCATAGAATTACCTAGCCCTAGAATTATCTACATTTATAGAATCTGGGCCGAGCGTCCACACGAATAATCGACCACCAAGCATAACCTACAATCGTTACAATAGAATCATTTTACTTTGATTCTCTGCTCAACAGGTCAGATGTCGTTTTGAGTAGCATTAAAATACTATTCGAACAAACACCTAGAACTGATAACAGCTCTTCATAAAAAGAGCGGTGGGATACTTTTGATGACAAGATAATGTCAGACTATATCATCGACAAACCACATGCAGTCATGGGCATCTGTCATATGCTCATCCTATTCCCTTGGACCACAGAACCTGCTACTTTAATGACCCCTCCAAAATATGATCCTTCTTGTACTATACAATGCCGGGACGATTGAGGTGATGAAACTCGAAGCTCATTACCCTGTGTGACATCCTCTCCTCTTACTTCGGAATCATACCAGGACGCACCTTGGGTGATCGAATCTCTCTCCAAAGGATCCAAATCTTCATTTCGATTTTTATCTGTCTGAATGTAGCGTTCCAAAACGGCCTTCAACGTAGACGCGGCCGTTGCAGCAGCGAAATTTTGCCACCTCTTGTTCTTATGACAGTCGGCATAATCGCATATCCCTTTGATCACAATGCAAGGTAGCTCTTCCCAAATACCAGCTCCTTCCATCTCAAATGCAATAACTCCTTCTTTCTTTGCAATCCTGTCCCGGTCTTCTGCAGACTTCATCACTATATCGCCAGATGCAATAGACCCCATATGAATGGTAGGCTCTTGAGCCTTGTCACTTTTATCTTGTTCCAACTGCCGTTTTGCATCAAGTTGTCCTCTATGCTCAAGGTATAAGTTGTCACACCCAAGCTCTTCGCAAGACAAGCTGAGAGCCTCGTCACAGACGGGGTTAGAAATGCTGTTACAATCGCGACAAACGCAAGTACACGGTACATGATGCTTATGGCGATACAATGACTTGAAAAGCTTGTCCTCCGCTGTACCAGGGTAGCTGTATCTGCCTTGACGCTTTCTGCCAGTAGCATTGGCCTGGAGTTGCTTGAGGAAATATGCGGTTCTTCGTTGCAGTCGTTCCAAACCAATGTCAGTCTCAAACGTGATTAGTAAATTGCGGATATCCTTGTTTGCTTTGCCAAGATTGTCCTCCAAAGTATCTTTGCGTATAAATCTGTCAGGGTACAGTCTGCCAAAGTCATATTGTATTACGGTCCTGCTGATAATCACATCACCTAGCAAGATCTCATCCTCTTCGCCATTTGCTGCCTGCGGGGCTCCTCCACAGATACCAACAAGCAAGGCCAGTCGTACACTGCCGTAGCTTGAACGAATACTGGCTGCGGCGCTGGCTGTATGCACTTTGCCAATGTGTGAGAGGAGAGCCAAGACAACGTTGTACCTGCCAATGCGGCCCGTTATATAGTGGTTGACATCTCCGGGGGATCGTCCGAAGTGATCACCGTCCTCGTCCCAGTATTCATCGAGCAGAAGGGAGACGGCGTTGAACTCGAGTGGTAGCCCGCATATTATGACAATCTCGAAGTCCTCGCGCCGAGAAGGTTTCACATAAACCATGATAGTAGTTCACGGGAGGTATTTATAAGGAGTACCTGCTGACATGAACTTTAGAAGCCGAATGGACCATTGCAAGGTAAATGTACAACGTACCTGAGTCTACAGACCTAGCTATAGGTGCTCAATAATTGAATCATGGGCACATTCGTCAGAGCTTTATAATTACACAATACATCTAATACATAGAAGATATCATCGAGCGGGGTTGTATATGCATTATCAGCCGCATGAATATCACGTGATCCTATATAAGTGACGCTACATGTTTCCAATAATATATATCAAATAAAGGATTAAAGTAGAAGAAGCCCGGTTGCGAGTCTGGACAATGATCGTTGCAGGAATGTTGCTGCTGCTATATGAGGGCAACAACCAGCGAATGCTTGTGATTTTACGAGTCTATGCACTAGGCGATTCATGAAATATGCTGATGAGCTCACTAATTGAACAGGTGAATGGATATAAACATCATATTCTTTTGAAAAACATCAAGTGATCAATGCTGTCTCTTTCAAGCAAGGTCAAGCTAATTTATCCTTGCGCTTCTTAATACGCCTAGAAAGAAGTTTAGACTAGAGTCGTTTTGTAACGGTAGATACAATATTGAGCTACTATTAATTGCTACAATCCCTTTTTCTACAAGTCTTTGCGTAATTAGTATTCCTCGTCTATTTGCCCCAATCAATTTATTATAGATTTCAGTCGTCGTTGTGCGATAACAGAGAGAAGCTTTCTTGTTATGTCCGATTTGGATCACACAAGTAGAGCGCATATAAGCACCTTTCTAGTGTTAGGCTTGTGAATGAAGATACCTGACTGTAACTGCGAATGGAGAATATTGTTGTCCAATGATGACGAAAACCCAAGGACGGCTAATGTGCCATTTTAATATAGTGCCACATTGAGCTACAATGTTGGTTGCGGCGGGGAGATAATTAGCCCGATTAGCGAAAGCAAATATCTGTATGATACGAGAAGAGAACATATCTTCTTTCTTTTATGGAGTCATATAAATGAATGGCAGGCTAAAGAGTGTGGATGAGTGGTGATATGGAAGGGAACTGGAATTCGCAGTAAATTGCCTGAGAGAGGAAAAGCACGTGGATGGACGGGTGGATGTAAAGCGCCAAGAGAGAACCAATTCGCCATTATCAATCGGTAGATAGACTTGAGATGATCTGTAAATCGCAGGCCAGATGAAGGGATCGGCCCATGGCACAATCTCAGCGCCATCCAAACACAAGCACAGAACAATATGTGAGCACTGAAAAGTCGTAATGCGAAAAAGACCCTGGCATCATAAAATGTGGGAGAAGCGGAGCATGGATGGAGACCTTTAGCAGCACCCCGCATTCTATGGTACGTACCATCCATGAAACCGTAGCCCAGACCAACCTGCGTTCAGGTTTCTCGTGAAGGGACGCAGGCGTTAAGAGCAGGCAATGTTGGTGGGGGTGAGTGAATGTTAGGGTATGACGGCGACTGCATAATCGCAGTCGTAAAGCTAAAGCGACTCCCAGCGAATAGGACGGCGCTGATAAGACGGCTTGAGAAGGTGAGACAACAGCGAGGTACCCGCGTTAGGACAGAGTAACACGCCACAACTCAAACAGATTGTTGCTCAACAAGCGGATGATAATATGCTTTGCCGTCTGTATTAGGTTTCACAGTAACGGGTGTCGCCCAGGGGCTGGCCGGGCGATGCTGTGCGCGCAACTTTGTGAAGAATGAAAACTTTTTTCTGCTGCCCTCTCGTTTTCCCGATAAAGAGGGTGTGTTGCCGCTGCTGATGCTGCACAGCGCATGTACGTCCGGACCTGGTCTTGCGCTTGAGACTAGCCATGTCGATGCAGGGAAAGATAATAAGGATCCACTAGAAAACTGCGCATGAGACAATCAGCCAGCAAAGCCAGCCATGGCTGAGCACGCGCACTTGCACGAGCGCTCGCACGTGTGCTGCTGGCTGACCCTCTGACTGCGGGTGTGTCTGGCTACTATTGGGCATCGCCGGTGGTCCGCCTGGCTGCTCGGCTGTGGATTTGAAAGCATGCCTGGGGTAGTACAGCGATTCCTTTTGCTGCCTGTAATCGCGATGAGCACGGCCAAGTGCTGGTCAATGGCCATTGGTGCTGAGTATCTGTGACAGTGCCAGCTTTGGAGCTTGAATGGCGAAGGATGAGTCAGAGCCAGAATCAGAATCAGATCCTCGGAGGACGAGATAGGCAGCAAGACGTGTGCAGGTACAGTATGTACATGTTGGTACCTTAGCTATCAAACTTGCAAGGGTTGAATGTAAGAGGAAGACAAAGGCTCAAAGAATTCTTACTTGCTCTCAAAGTACATCGTACGGGATTGAAGACGCCGAAGCGTCCGAGAATGTGGTACAAAGTGAATGTTCATCCCGGCCATCTAACCCAACGCAAGCCATCTGTGGTCAGCTAGCCAGGCAAAATATGACGCCGCACACATTGTCATATGATAATTCTCGTTCAAAGGAATAGAATTGGCATCTCATTTGACCACCATCCTCACGGCCCCGTTTGTTGGCCGACGAGACGCCCTCCAAGCCCCGACTGCTGCTTATAGCTGCCCGACAAAGAGACACATCAACAACGAGACGCAGCGGTGCTAGCTCTATCAACAGCTGCGCTGGGCGATCCCGTTTGTGCCCATCCAGCCATCCCAGGGCCAGCATGCACATGCTAGTACCATTCGACCCTTCGGACTCGAGCTTCGTACATGCCTCAAGCGTCCAGATGGGGCCGGGTACCACGTCGAGGCCAGGATTGGCGGAAGCAGGAACGTCGGGAATGGGGGTCCAGGGAACTTTGTTGAGATGTGCGGCCACTAGATACGTGTTGATGCCTCATATCGCGGCTTTAATCTCTGGTTTGTGCTGGACCCCCGCTTGCAGCTCGCGCATGCTTTCTCGCAAAACGTACAAAGAAGGCCGATCATCTTCTTTCCCCCTTCTCCCTCTTGCTGCTTGATCTCGATCTCTCCTCTGCCTCGCTCAGCTCCAGCCGGTTTTTCTCACCATCCTGGGACGCATCACTCGCCAGTCCTCTCTGACGCACATCGCCTGGCTCTTGTGTGCCACCAAGCTGGTTTTGGTCATAGGCGCAGACGGTCCCGGCTGATCGAGGCACGCCGTCTCGACTCGCATCGTCATTACCCCGTACCCCATCTTTTTAATCGAGGCAGAAATTACGCCAGCTGAGCTCCGTGCTATCTCACCAAGAGACAAAGAGACAAAGAGAGAGACAGAAGAATCGGCGCCGTTTTCGTCTTGAGCGTTATTCATCCGTGTTACTTCAACGTCGTGTTATCTGATAACAATTCTGCCTTGCTTGGGCCCTTCTTTCCTCGCTCTTGACTCTCCTTCCCATCATATCAGCGAATGATACACCGCCGATAAGGACGAGTCAGCTAATCGATCGCACCTGACCGGCGTTCCCGTAACTTTGCTTCACTTTGGCAGAGTAGGTGCCACCGCGGCGAACACTGTGCTCTGGAGCGGACGCTGCCGACCCAAGTCGTGGCTACCGCGCCCCGCTGCTGTCTGATACGCACCTGACGTGTACTCTCGACTCTGCAAGGCACCATTGGCCGACCAGCGGCGCCAATCGCAGTTGCGCCTGACAGTTGGGACGCACTCAAAATCCGCCCCAGCCGTTAGCCCTAATCGCACGCCGCTCATTGGCCAGCTGCCTGCTCTGGCCCTCTCACTTCAAGCCATTTTTTTTCCCAATCGCCCGCCTGGGTTTCGATACCGCCGCGGAAGCGTCTGCCTTAGTACTGCGGAGTACTGCGCGTGCAGCAGCAAGTACCCCTGTGGGCGCCCGTCCGTCCTTATCGCGCACCCTGCACCGCCAAGTACACGCGCGACCGCTCCCGCCACCTCGCAGTACGCAGCGCCGAGTACGGGGTACTCGCGCCAAAGCCTCCCGTATTCCAGAAGGCCTCGCCTTTGGGGCATCACAGCGCTGTCGGTCCCCTGAGGCCCACCCCAACACCGCTGCCGCACTGGCATGTCTCCACTGTGTCGTGCGCTGTCTCGATCCCTGTCCGCTCTAGGAACTAGATTAGGTCATGATGCTATACACTTCTCGTCCGAGGCTCCCACAGCCTCCAACTCCTGCTCTCTTCCCTCCCTCCATCGTCTCGAATCCCATCCGCCCTCCAACACCGAAGCCATCTCTCCCATCAAAGCCAGCCGTAGTCGAAATCGAAACACTCCTCGTCGCCTCCGAATCTGCTAAACCAGCCGTCGCCATCATTGCACCACACGCGAGTGACCCGAAGCATGCACAGAGCAACAAGAGATCATCCGCAATCACAGTTACCGTCACGCCCATCCGACCTGAGACGCCTTGTCCATCCGAAATCGATGCAGACATGGGGAAACACGTCTCTCCGGCTGTGTCTACCGTCCCGGATGGCTTGAGCTTGACCATCAGGCCAGCAACTCCAACCAGCCCAGTCCAGATTCCCACGACCAATGGCCGCAACAAACATTTCGACGCTGCTCGCCCTGTGAGACGACAAACCGCCCCCCGTCGCAAGGTTCCGAATCATGTTCGCGCGCCAGAGTCTGTCTCTCCATCGGTGGCCGCTCTGTTGGCTGTCACTGACATCCCACGACCTCGACGAACGCAGCGGAAACTCCGGGGAACGGACAGGCTGCTAACCGTCGATGCCATCATTGACAATGAGCGTCAACTTTCAGAGAAGGAGATTAGCTGGTCGTTGAGTCGCGGTAGTCCCATGGATGTACTCATGTCTCCCCCGGACAGCCTAGACGACGAATTCTTGGGCAGTGACTACGGCAGCGTCTCAATGGCCAGAACACTCTCTATCGACTCAATGCCGTCTTTAGGTGACTCTTATGGGACCGACGTCTTCTCGTCTATGGAGTCCCCTCGAAGCTTGAGTCCTCAGCCCTTACATCGGAGAAAGGCCAGTCCCATGCGTAAGTCGTTTGGGCCCATCCGCTCTCCTCCCAACAGCATCGATGAGCATCCGCTCTCAGCGCCCCCGCTGGATGAAGATGACCTGGACTCGTTGAGCCTCAATAGCTCAGAGACCGAGCAATCGATTTCTCAAGCGTTTATTCCGTTCAAGCCCCTGAGGGCTGTCTTCAAGTCCAATCTTACGGCATCACTACGTGCACTGCGATCGGCGGCAAAGTCGTTTTCAAGCATCAACTTCCCATCCATCCCGCCAGATGATCTCATTACGCGATCCATCCTCACCATGGACCCCGAGGTGCCGTATGCCGATGAGCGCCGACCACCCGTTACAGAAGAGATCCCATCAGCTGAGCTACGCCGCTATCTTAACCCGACCACAAGGCTGTCGCGTGAGACACAGTCTCGACCTCTGCAGCAGCCAGGCACTTTTGTCGCATCAATTCAGATGCAGACCTACAAGATTCAGCGATCCCGGCCCACAGACGCGCCGGCACGCAAATCATACCCATCCATCTCACCGCTTTCTCCGCCGCCTCCCGTAAACGAGGCCCCTTCTACTTCGACCCGAGACGCGACTCCACCTCTTCCGGCTGTGCGACAGCGAGAGATGCGAGAAAATCCCGACTTTATTCGAATTGCCGTCATGGAGATGATTATGCGCCGACGAGGCAAGCTGGACAACAGCAAGCCTGGCCGTGCTCGATGGGCACTACCACCCAGGAAAACATCGGCCAAGCCGTATGAGATTGGAGCCAGTGGTGTTCCAGAACGATGGGTTCCTCTGTCAATGGCTGACTAGAACCGTCAGTCTGGACTCGGCACAGCCCTATTCTCCGTGCACGGTTGAACAGCTCATGCGACACCGACGCGTTTTGTCGGATTTCTATTGGCTTTCGGCTCGCACTCAGAAATCGGCGAACACTAAATGTCTGAGAAAAAGACCCTTACTTTTTGCTCTCCTCTTACTGAAGCGACGATCGATCCACCGTACACAGTCTGGTGGGACTATGTCAAATTACTGGGAGTAGCGGTTTCTCTTACCAATGGCTTGCCACTTGCTTTTTGCTGAAGTGGCAATGGGGTGCCGGTGACACATGGCAGATTCGGTACTGTGATGGAGCGAACGGAACACGAGCCCACATACCCTTTGCCCCACCTGCTAGAAGGGCTTTGGAAGCCTCCGAGCCCTTGGAAGCCATGCGCCATGAGTCGGGAGCACCCACAGGGGCAACCTGTCACGAACCATACCGAGGACAAGCGTCGATGGGCGTTATTGAGCCGTACCACTTTGTGGGCATTGGGCGACAGGGTCCCATCGCATTGGGAGAACAGCTGGCATGCTTTGAGTGGATGAAGCTGCATTTGCAAAAATTTTACAGCTCCTGCGATACGGCCCAAAGCACGCATGAAAATTTTTTTCCTTTGGCAAATGGGCCTAAAGAGGGACCACTCTGTCGCAGGGCCTTTTGGATTTCCTAACGCGCTTCCATTGTACAATAGTGCCTGCAGCGTCGCGAACTTTTGGGCGAGACAAAAGATCGACTTTTGACAGCACAAGCCATTACCCAATCGGGAAGGCAGAAAGATGAGTTTATCGGACGCAAATTTCCGAAACGGCAGCCAGATGAACTGGTTTGCGACCTGCTCTTTTCTGTTTTCCAGACCCTGGATCTTGGCCTGATTTGGGCCTCAATGATCGTCCTTTGTTGAGTCAATCTTTTTCCTAAAAGTTCGGCGGCATTCGGAGCTATTCAGACCAATGTTAGTCTACTACCTTCGGAGTTGGGCTCACACGAAACCCTGGACTATTTGCGCCATTTTCTCGATTTTTCTTTTTCCCTTTTTCGTTTCACTTTTTTGGAGCATCTAATGCGTTCTATTCTCGGACTAGTTTCTTTGATCCTTGTCCCGCCATGTTTTTCTTATCAATTTTATCACATTGCGATGGTGGAGTGATGCAACAATACTTTTGGATTTATTTTGGCATTGCGAAATGATGGCGCATGAATTGGGATACCCCTTGTATGGTGTACAGGGCTTTTTTTTTTTTTTTTTTTTATTCTTTTCTCTGGTTCTGTATGATTTATCCCTATTAGATTGCAAAGATGGGATTCAGTTCCCGGAAGTGTTTTGTTGAGGACTGCTCAACTACTGAAACAGTCACTACCATTGACCGATCTGAAGATATTATTCTGGACGGTAGAGGTATTTTATGGAAGACATTTATGAGGAACACAAGGGATAAAGAGTTGGATGATATCGTCGCAAGGCGAGCATAGCGATTCTATTTTTGGATATTGCCTATTTTTACGATTTGGATATTCGTTCAGATTCTTGGATATTACACGTACTTTGGAGATATAGAGAGCCCTGGTAAACTTTAGGAAATTTTAACTTTATTTCAACTCTACTTGATCCTGAACCAATCGATTGTTGTGATGTGCCTGGTGGCGAATTTTGTATGCAAGGGCTTGCAGTATGCATGCGATCGAATATTGAAATGGAGCGTCAATGTAATTACAATAACGTTCAAGAATTCTGTCAGAATATGCATACGATAAAGGAATACTGAGACAAAGTAAATATCTTTCCATTGTAGGTTGAGCAGTCTGTTGAGTGAATGAACATTGCCTAGGTAGGTAAAAGAAGGAAGATGGAGAAGAAGAAAAACGCTTGGGGTATATTTGGCGCTCCTGGTCAGTTATTAACCTGCTAACAGAGCAATTCTATATAACACTCTACGCTTGCCGTAGAATGATTGCTGAGAAGAAAAATTGAAGCAAAGGAGATTCTTCTCCTTGTAGATACAAAAAAGCCATCCATACGCCTTTGATGCGCATTCCCAGTATCCCTTATTGTACACACACGCGCGCGTTTGTAAAATAATCCAAGTTTAGCCCACGGGAAATAATCCAACACATCGCTTGCCCAAAATGCCATATTGAAAATAACCACATAAAAAAGAAGCAAAGCAGTGACAAAAAAAAAAAAGCTTCCAAGAAAAAAATCACTTCTGAGCCCACCAGGATATAAAGTTGGTATAACAATGTACCTTTTTATCCCAGAGGGCCCTTCGTGCTCCGGCGAGAAACACTTCCATCTCGGTTTCGCTCCAGTCTAGAGTTTTCAGGGGTTTGGCGGCGAGAGCGCGGATGAGCTCGTGGATGATGTCGCGGAAGAGAATTCCGACTTCTCGCTGCTTGGGATCCTATATTAAGGGATGTCAGTCTACCGTCCATTTTATGCAGGAAGACAGCGCAAACGTACCCTGGGCCAAGGGCCGATTGGCGTTTTGATAACCCGGCATTGGATGTTTTTGAAGCCGGCATTCTTGTACTTTTGTTCCAGCTCGTTGATAGTGTATCCGTTCATGCCGTAGTTCAACAGACACTGGTGCATCATGCGGGCGACTTGCGCCACCGGATGGCCTGGAGGCATCGTGCCGTCGTCGCATCTGATAAAAGTGCAATAGTCTGTGATCTCGAGCCACCCGCCCTCTTTTAGGTGAGAATAGCAGTTGTTGATCAGCTTGTCCATGTCTTGCAGGTACATGCAGGAATGGCGCAAGTTGATAAAGTCGTAGCCGCCGCGATCCATCCACTCGTCTTCGATATCGTCGACTAGGAAGCGCACGTTGGGCGGGACCATGAATGGCTGAATAGGACTGAGATCGAGGCCGACGATTTCTGCGCTGGGGAACATTTTGGCGACTTCATAGCGGTTAGTATCTCCTTGAAGACAGTCTAGAAGCAGAAATAAGAGAGGAGAGTCGCAATTATACCTGCCACTGGCCACAGCCCTGTTCCTGTGCAAAGGTCCAATATTTTCTGCGGATTCGGCGCAATGGGCGCATTGAATAGCCTGCCTCCCGTCTGCTCCATGTGCAGCACGTGTTTCATATACTCTCGTTCCTGCTCTTCATCGTCGTTTGGTAAAGGATAGCGGCCGTGTCGGTAGTGGTGATACTAGTAGACAAAAAAGAATCAGCGTATGTTCCGACCTAAACTCTTGTAAATAAAACCACCATACGCACCCTTCGCCCGCCCTCAAACTCGTGCTCCCATATGCTGCTCCTCACGGTCACCGACGCCGCAGAGTACTCGTCCGTGTCTTCCATATCGTCGTCGTCGTCGTAGACGTCTTCGCTGTCCGTGGCTTCGAGCGGAGGGTCCTGTTCCTCGATATTAGGAGCATCCTCTGTGACTGGTTTTCGAGGCTCTGCAACCTTGGCTTCTGTAGGCTCTGTAGGCTCTGAGTCTATTGCCGGCGCCTTGCTAGCACTCGGCCGATCTGTCTCACTGTCCCTCGCGGGATCTCCCATTGTGTGTTGTATGTGGGTGTCTCTGTGCGCCAACCAGCGTCGATGGCTGTCGATGGTAGTCGATGAATATTTCAGCAGCGCAACCACAGCGAAGCCGACTGACTAAGAGCCGATGGCAAATAAGATGGTGTTTCTCGTCGCGCCGAAAGCGATGGAGATTGGAGACTCGACAACTCGGCAGGGAATAGAGGTGATCGATCCTTTGAGAGAATCTGGGTCATCGCATGCTGTAATTTTCCCGCCTTTTCCGCCAGTTGGTGCTCTGCGCTGCGCAACCGAGGCCGTCGCAATTATGATTCGCCTTTCGGTTGCTGCGGGGAGAAAACCGATCAATCCGACGTTTCGACTGCGCAAAAAAAGAAACGAGAAAAAAAAAATCCAAGGTAAAAAGTAAGAATCGGCTGTGAATGTTTGCGACAGGCATTTGAGCGCTGCCAATTTCAAGATCTGGGAGCTGCAGTCAGCTGATTGGAGCTACGGTACGGGGTACCTTAGCGCAGCGTACCGAGTACCCCACAGCGGCACGGCGGGAACCAGCCACGCACAGGTACTGGCTACGGGCGACGAAGCGTACAATCGACAACCAAATTGGCGCCAAGTTGCCGGCTTCTGGATGGATGCTCTTTTAGTCGCCGATTAGACTAATAGGGGGCCGAAGGAAGCAGATGCCACTCTGTAAATGGATCGGACACGCCATCACCGAGGGGTGCTTGACCTGTTGCTGTTGGTTGAGTGACCTTTGACTACCTAACAACAATATGACACTCAAGAAAGTAGCAGAAACAGGAGTGCCTTGAGCATTTGTCAGCGCTGGGAGAATTATAGTAATCGGTCGTGAGCAAAATGCCTTTGCGCAGGTATCATGTACATACTCGTAATCATCTTTTTCTATAATGGGCAGCCAGCTGTTGGTAGTATCTGTGTGTGGCTTGTTTACGTATTGCCTGCAAGCGTCTGTAAGCTATTCCTATGCCGGTTTATCTCGCATGTTGGGAATAACACCCACGTCTCTATCAATCCTTTAACGAGTCCACCTTGGCATCTAGCCTCTTTCGTTCAAAACGAGATGTTTGTGTTATCATGATCATTTCCATACTTGGAGAATTGACAGGTTATAAAAGGCATGAAGCGACGTGGAACTAGTCATTGCTCTATTTGAGGGTTGAGATTATAACAGTGCCGTATAACATCCGCATCAGCCAATATACTTTGGTTGTCTTCATTAAACAGATCAGAGCTTTTCAATCTTGTCATTGTATTCTAGCATTAACCTATTCCAACTTACGGTGTGCATGCCAAGTTCGTCAAGCGCCGCATCCTGCGTCCGGCACTTGCATCTGGAAGAGGTTCAGCTCTTTCGACCGCATGATCAGAGATCCATGTCAACTTCCAATGGGAAAGGAATGCTCCATTGAAGGAATATGGCAATAGATGCGACTAAATCGGCAACTGGGATACAACGCCATAAATAGAAAGTGATAGCTATCCTACTGCGAAAACCCCATTTTGAAGCTCCCAAAGCTGGGGACGCTTATAAACAGCATACTCAACTGTTGAAGATCAATGTTTATCTAGAATAAATCTACTAATTGGAAAGGCTCTCTTGTATTCATACCGCAGCTACAATTTTGCTTCCAGCTTGGAGTTCCACAAAGCCACCAGCGGTCCTTGCCTTCCGTATACCGGATCAGCCTTTGGCGCAGGAACATCTCGGATCATCGAGGCAAAAGAAGTTGCAGGCTGCTTGCCGTGCTCACTTATCCATTTGGGGCATTCCTATGACACACATCAGTTTACTTATACACGATGGGGAGCATGCGGGTGCAAAGAGAAACACGGCAGACTTGGATAATCGCTCACTTTTGGATAGACACCAATGTAGCGATAGTCATCATAGCTCTCTAGCGAGGAATGAGCCGTTCCAGCTGGAAGGACAATTACATCGCCAGCGCGCACATCGACTTCAACGCCCTCTCCATCTTCAATTTTTCCTAAGAGCAGCGTCGAATTGCCCTGGAAGATGCCTTTTCAAATAAAGTCAGCCCGCAATGTTATGTATCACTGATGATGAATGCACCTACCGTAGCATTCATGCGTATTTGGGTGAAAGTGTCTCATTGAGATATGCCCCCAGGTTCCCTAATACCACGGCCCTCTATTAGCCGTTGCTCGAGATCAATCAATGATAGATTATTCCATACTCTCTTTTCCCAGCCATACGCTGTCAAAAACTGCGTTGTCGTTTCTTCGTTTCGGGGCTCGGGTAAAACATTTCGGTAGAGAATCACCGGCAGCTGACTATTTGGAACATCGTTTGTCGGAGCCAGGAGATAGCACTCAACGGACGAGGGCATTTTGGCGTAAATTATTTTTACAAGTTTAAGCAATGAAGATGAATGATGAACTTTGTGCTTTTCTTTTTTTTGTATTTCTTCACTGAAAGAAACGATTTTGATGCATAATTAACCTGACCAGCGCTCGTAAACCCCAACTGATGAATACAATGACGATTGGAGAAAGAGGGGTTGCGGTTTTACAACCCAGCGCTTATTCATTGACATCATCATAATACATCTAGAGAAATGACCATCTTATCAATGGCGGCAGATGCGCAATTTATCCAAATCATATAATAGTGTTGTGAGTAATTGCATTCAGTTTACACTTTGATTCGCCTTCGCATGCTATTTAGAAACCGATTCATTATTGAACAGCTCTTTTCACTTTGTACATACACTATACTTCTGCCTACAAGTACATGTATCACACGGGCTGTTATCTCAAGCAGGCGCCCTTTTCTAACCAAAATGTACCCAAAATCCAGTGAATACATCCTACCAAGACAGTTTAATTAATTGTCTGAGGGGCCTAACTGGTGAATGCTGCCGCTACACCCAATTACAAGACACTCCTTGGATGTAGCCAATCAATCCTTTGCAGCACTAGCAAGCGGCGCAAATCAAGTCGCCCAACACCATAGAACTGTTGGGTAGTATGATGGATGCCTGCATGTGGGAGGCCTACGATAACAAATGTGTGAATAGTAATTCACTAGAATGAGCTTAATAGAAATACTGCGGCACTTGGGAATTATAAAAACACGTAGTTGCCTATTATCCTCTCGGCTTGATCTTGGAAATATCTACACAATTCACACCACTCTCAACATCACCAGTTCGTCATGGTGCTAACACATCTTAACACCAAAAACCTAGAGGGCCTTTGCTCCAAGGAGCAGCTTGAGCTCCTCAATACGGTCGACTCGCTGCGCTCCCAAGGCATAAGCCATTACATTTCCCTACCACAAATCATCGTCTGCGGTGATCAATCTTCTGGCAAAAGCTCCGTGCTGGAGGCTATATCCGGTGTCTCGTTCCCCGTCAGCAGCGGGCTCTGTACTCGTTTCCCAACAGAGCTCATCCTCAGAACGGCGGCAGACATTTCTGTCAAGGTCTCAATTATCCCCCACGAGCGACCTAGCCAAAGCGATAAAGATCCGCTGTCTGATTACCACGAGAAGCTGGACTCCATTCAAGAGCTTCCAGAACTCATCGAAAATGTCAAAGCAGTCATGGGAGTCAAGACGCTCGGCAAAGCTTTCTCCAATGATCTTCTTCGCATCGAGATCAGTGGACCGGATCGCCCTCATCTTACCATTGTTGATCTCCCCGGGCTGATCCATTCTGAGACAAAGAATCAATCCGCCTCAGATGTTTCTCTCATCTCTAGCGTCGTCAAAAGCTACATGGCCAAGCAACGAAGCGTCATCTTGGCAGTCATATCGGCCAAAAATGACTATGCTAACCAGATTGTGTTGAAGCTTGCCCGCGATGCGGATCCTGGAGGCACGCGCACACTCGGAGTCATAACCAAGCCGGATACTCTTGCCCCTGGTTCCAGCAGCGAGAAGACCTACATCTCTCTCGCTCAAAATAAGGACGTAGAGTTTCGTTTGGGATGGCATGTCTTGAGGAACAGAGACACGGATGCAGACTCTTGGAGGCAGGCACAACGCGATGCGAATGAAAAGGCGTTTTTCTCGAAAGGCGCTTGGTCGTCTTTGCCGGCGACGAATCTGGGCATTGTTTCTCTTAGAAGCCGTCTGAGCAAGCTCCTGCTGCATCAAATTGCTTCTGAACTGCCAAGTTTAGTGGATGAAATCACCCAAGAGATGAATGAAACCAAGGCGCAACTCGATAAACTTGGCCAGCCCCGTATAAGTCCGCAGGAGCAGAGAATTTACTTGGTCAAGATCAGCCAGACTTTTCAATCCCTCATGCAAGCTGCCCTGGATGGCACCTATACCGATCCGTTTTTCAGTGCCCCCAACGATGATGATGAGTCGGCTTACTGCAGGCGCATTCGTGCCGTTATCCAGAATCTAAGTCGGGACTTTGCAGACACAATGGCAAGCGATGGCCAATACTACAAGATCACCGACGCTCCAAAGAAGGACCAGGTGCCTGGGAAAGCAGTTGAAATGACTCGAGATGATTTCGTGAAGAAAGTTGTCAACATGATGTCTTACAGACGTGGACGAGAGCTACCCAATTCGTTTAGCCCAGCAATTGTCACGGATCTCTTCCGGGAGCAGTCAGCGCCTTGGAAGTCAATTGTCCGGAGCCATGTTCAGAAAGCCTGGAAAGAAACCAAAGTTTTTCTAAACGAGTTGGTTGTTCATATTTCCGATCCCACCACTGTGACGACCATCATGGAGACAGTGATAAACCCCAAGCTTGATACCATACTAGCCGATCTCCAGGAGCGGACTGCAACATTGCTGCATCCTTATGAAAACGACCATCCAGTGACTTATAATTCTGAGTTCACGGAAACGCTCCAGAAAATTCGTCTCGAGCGACACTCACCACAGCTGGACGAAATTCTGCGCAAGCACTTTCCGAATGCCAACCTTGACAACACTCAACAGCACTTGTCGACGTACGTGAATTTTGTGAGCTTGAAGCGGGAACTGGTGCAACGTCTTGAGCCAGATTTGGATCGCTGGAGCGCCCTCGAAGCACTCGATAGCGCAAACGCCTATTACCAGGTAAGCCTATAACAATAAACATCGAATTATTTGCACCAATATCTTAATAGACAGACTGCTAAACAACTTTCTTTTTCATCCAATAGATAGCGTCTAGACGCTTCATCGATGAAGTGTCTATCCAGGTGATTGAAACAGGATTGATCAGCCAGATCCGCAACATCCTCAGCCCTCTAGTCGTCGCGCAAATGGACGAAGACGACATGGCAGCCATCGTAGGCGAGAAGGAATCCATCCGCAACGCACGAAAGCGCTTTCAAGCCAAGATCAAGCTTCTCGATGAGGGCGCTCAGACGTGCAAGAAGTTTTCTGGATATCAAATACTGGGTAAGTAATGCAACCAAGAAAAACAAGAAAATGAGAATGCAAAAAAAGCTAAATGAGAAAATAGTAGCAGGCAGCGATGATGATGACAACCATAAATTGGCTGGCTCTCCGCAAAACTCGATTAGAACCGATTGGGCGTCAACAGTGCCCAGTCTTTTGAGGGGAAAGCAGCGGAAGAGAATGCCTCAACAACTGTAATTTCGCCAAGATCTTGATCAACAGGGTCTAGACGTCTCAGAAGATTTTGGAGTCTCAGGCGGCAGATGTTCTCTTTGGAGAAAGATTATTTGAGTTGGTCGACGAAGAGCGCGCGCGCGAGAGAGAGAGAGAGAGAGAGAGAGAGAGAGCGCGAGAGAGAGAGAGAGAGAGAATTTCCTCATATTCACATGGAAGTTAAGAATGTAGCTTCTAATAAATAACCGAGTATAAATCTAGACACAACTCCATGGCCGGCGTCTTTTCTTATAATCCCCAAACAATAATCCTCTAAGGCCGGTATTATTAAATGTAAGTATTATAGACATTTAAAGAAGCTATATTAAAAATCTTTAACTATATATCTAAGAGCTTAGGAGGCAGGAGCTCTTGCATATATGAGATTATGAGATTTATGTGGTAGGATTAGACTATTGTTTCCTTAGAGAGAGAGCGCGAGAGAGAGAGAGAGAGAGAATTTCCTTATATTTACATGGAAGTTAAGAATATAGCTTCTAATAAATAACCGAGTATAAATCTAGACATAACTCCATGGCCGGCGTCTTTTCTTATAATCCCCAAACAATAATCCTCTAAGGCCGGTATTATTAAATGCAAGTGTTATAGACATTTGAAAAAGCTATATTAAAAATCTTTAACTACATATCTAAGAGCTTAGGAGGCAGGAGCTCTTGCATATACGAGATTATAAGATTCATGTGGTAGGATTAGACTATCGTTTCCTTAAAGAGAGAGCGCGAGAGAGAGAGAGAGAGAGAATTTCCTTATATTTACATAGAAGTTAAGAATATAGCTTCTAATAAACAACCGAGTATAAATCTAGACATAACTCCATGGCCGGCGTCTTTTCTTATAATCCCTAAATAATAATCCTCTAAGGCCGGCATTATTGAATGTAAGTGTTATAGACATTTAAAGAAGCTATATTAAAAATCTTTAACTATATATCTAAGAGCTTGGGAGGCAGGAGCTCTTGCATATATAAGATTATGAGATTTATGTGGTAGGATTAGACTATCGTTTCCTTATCTGCTAGATATTAAGAGTCTAACAAATAGGGCTGGACGTATCAGCAACGGTCAGAAGATTCTCAAACAAGCCAGATCTCAAACTCAATCAACACAAGACCAATAGAGTTCTACATCACTTTTATATACATATAAGAAACATACTTATATATATATATATATCTATACCTCCCCACATCCACATACCCAATCACCCTTCTCTTTCTCTTCCACAATCTCACAAAGGAAAAAAGTCATTAACGTAAAAAAAAAATTTGAAAATAAAGTAAAATAAAATCGCTTTAACCTATCCTATCCATTTCATTTCCAGCTCTTCCTCCCCCCTTTTATTTTTCTACCCATATGCGTGTGTATGTATTTCCCTTCCCAGCATAACAGTAACCAAACTCTCCAACACCCTTTTTTTCTTTTATCAAAACAATATGACAGAGAAAAAACGATCGGACATGGGTATGAAATGCATGCCCCCGAAGAATAAATGCCAGCTTCGTCGCTTTTACATCATTAATATTACATCTTTGTTTCCTACCGCTCCACCAAGATAAACCAATTAAACAAGAAAGAAGGTATAGATAGATAAGGGGCACGCTTAATCAGATATTGCCGTCATCATCAAAAGTTCGTTTTCTTCTTCTTCTTCTTCTTCTTCTTCTTCTTCTTCTCCACCTCAACTAGTCGTCTTCGACCGTCCATGCGACCAACTAAGCCTATGACTCCTCTCCGGCCTATCCTCATCGAAACCCCCCATCCCCCCACCACCACCGGTAGGAGAAGCAAGCTCCTCCTCCTCATTCATCTCCTCCGGCTCCTCCGTCTGCTGCCCGGCATTATTATTGTTCTCGCGATGGCTCATCCTCTGCGTAAGAGCAGTAAGCTTATCGCGCAGCCCAAAGCCTCTCCCACCAGTCGGCTTGTTATTGTGCTCATCGCCTGCCTCGGCATGTCCAGCACTAGTAGACGGTCTCGACTCGGCGCTCGTAAAGCTTCTCAGCGGACCGCGGTGGTGATGGTGTGATCCGCCATGGCTAGAAGATGGCCGGAGAAGCTCCATGGCCAAATTGCTGTGGTGGCCCTCGCCTCGGCCAGGATGGTCCACCGGCGTTGGCGGCGTCATGGTCAGGTATGCCGGGACTGGTGGGATGTTTTGCGCAGAACCAGTCGTTAGGTGAGACCTGCTGCTGGCAATGCTGCTGCTGCGACTAGCTGATCGAGGAGCCGGAATTCCGCTGCGGATGCTACTACGAGTAGACCGCGGAGGCGACCGCGAAAAGTCCACCGGGGATGTCCCATACAAGCTCGCAGAATCATCGCTGTCATGTATACTCGGCGTGTAATTCTGCGACATAATGGAAGGCGTGGAAATCAGAACAGAGCTATTTGCCAGCTCCCGCAATCTATTCCGCTGTTCCGCGTTGGGCTTGTGCTTCGAAAACTTGTTTCCAATAATGGCTCCCGTGTGTGAGATGAGAGCCCTCACAACCGCCTTCTTCAATGCCAAAGCAAGATCCAAGTTTGACCAAGTCTTGTTCTGCCACTCAATCATCGGAAGTCGGAATACAAAGTTATGGACATCCTCAAAGTTCCGCTGATCCTTGCCCTTGTAGCTGAGACACAATACCACCGATGGTATCTTGATATGCGCAAACGTAATGTAGTTGTTGGCACGGCTAATCATCTTGGTAAGATCATCAGACATTTGCTTATCATCGGTATTATGTCTGCTGCGTATGCCGAAACGTGACGGTTTCTTCGGATCCGACTCCCTGCTGTCTTTGGACGAAAACCCAGTGGAAGATCGGCCAATGGCGCCAGGTCGTGGAGTGCCCGTCATTGGCCGCATAGATTCGACTGAAGACTTCTTGCCCAGCGTTCGTGAGGTTCCAGAACGGAAAAGTCGGAATGCATGGCCGCCGCCCTCGGAACCGTTAGGTCCAAGGTGCTTCTTCGAACGTTCATCCGCAACACCGGAAGACAAGGTCGGCTTAAGTCGCAGCTCCAGTGAGCCTGGACGTGTCGAAAAGGAAGCATCCAGCCCGTTACGTGTGCTATGTCGACTACCAGTGCTCTTGGGCGACTCATTACCCTCCTCATCCAAGCTGTTCGAGTCGCGTCGAATTACAATCGAAGGATTGGGGGTGCCAGTCTTTCCTGCAGCATCTTCCGCCTGCTCCGCGTCCATACCGGGGAAGATGTACTCAAACAGCCGCTTGCCCACTTCACGCTCCAGTTGAATCTTCATCGGATACAATTCAATCTCGAATCGTTCCATGACTGGAATGCCGGCGATAGCTTCCAACATGTACCAGTATACCCGAATCATGTCAGTGTCTTCCCCATTTCGGGTGCCCGGCCTCTCTCCTTCGTGGTATGGAGCTATTATCTCCGGATACGTCGCGTCAGGCAATAGATTTAGGCCAAGCAATTTGCCAGCACGAACCAGGTTCATGTGGGAGCCATCCGAATGGTCAGTACGGTCGTACTCTAAGTCCTTAAGTTGAAGTTCAACCAGCGGCTCATTCGAATCCTGCATAAGGTGCCACACGATATCTCGAGCAGAAATGCTCCATTTCAACAGCGCGCTAGAGTGGGCGTTCTTCTCCAGTCTCCTCTGTGAAGTCATGATGGCTTTCATCATAAAGAAGAGCTCATCTTCGGAAGCCGCCAAATCACGCTCCAAAGCCAAGCGATCTTCCCATCCTCTCTTGTCCAAGTACGGAGAGTAGATTTGGAAGTGCGACTTGATTTCCTCCATTTGCCTGATCCGATCCTGCAACTTCATCACCATCTCCGGTATACCGCTAAGGTCGCTAAAATCGGACGCGAGGATAATCTTCTCCAAACGCTCATTCCTCGTCTTCTCAAGGGGCTCGCTGTACATGAGCAGATCAAGCACAATGACATACATGGCATAATACTGCGATGAGTTACAGAGAGCGCGCGCTTGCGGGAACTCCACCCAAAGGTTATCCACACGTCTCTCTGTGGGCTCATTGGTGGCTCCGTCGGTATTTTCACCACTAACTTCGTCGTTGTACTTCAAACGGAGAGTGTTGTACTTGTCATATCGAAGCATGGCTGAAGTCTTTTGCACGACACGCTTGAAGCCAAAGGGATCGGTCTTGAAATCAAACATGACTTCCATAGGGACCCATGGTGGCCACGAAGAGCCTGTTGGTGTACCATACTTGCTGCCCGAGTACATAGACACCAGGTTGGTCTGGAACCACTTCTGGTGCGTGACGAAGAACTGTGTGCTGTCCATGTTGACCAAGAAACGGCGCTGGACAAGACCGCTGACATTGTCTGCGATTCTCGACTTATCCATGACCTCCACCACCTTCAGCTCCATTGCCTTTGAAGTAACCAACACAACGTGCTTCTTATTCTTCTCGCTCTGTAGCTGAATCTGCGGAGCAATGAGTCGAACATGATAACTGCTCTGGGGGTTGAACTCGTCGGAGATGCCATCTTCCAAGTCTTCGATGGAGCCTTCAACAACACCATTTGCGTTGCATGCAAAGCCGCGAGTGTCCGAAAATTTCCGACAATCTGACAAAATGCTTTTTATACGATCTCCGAGGTCCTTGGCGGCATCGCTCTCAGGGGGAGCATCCGGAGATGGGGGAGTTCCATTGTGTGTTGATGCAGCTGTAGACTCTGAAGCTCCATTCTTCTCATCCCTAAGCCTGGTTTGCTCCTCTACCATGTCTAGAATAAACTTGACCGCCGGTCTAGACAGGTAGTATATAAATCCACGCCGCTGACTGCTCTGGTGAACATATCGTAGCACAATATTACGCAACAGGTTGTTCCATTTGAGTTGCATATTGTGAACAACGAAACGGTTCTCAAATTCGCTTTCAAATTCGACGTTGGAAGGGATCGAAGGCATGTCCATGTAATCACTTGGGGAGTCCACACTTATATCTGAACGACGTATGCTCGGCACTTCAC